TCGTAACATGTGAGTTTCTCTTTTTGTACCAATTATATTTAAATTCGAATATGAGATGAGAAAGTCAACTTGCAATTGCTTCTAATCCTGGCCCCAGTCGTCTAGCAACTAGCGGGAGCCTTATGACCCTATAGTAATAATCAAGGCATATGAGGCTGAGATAGTTAGTAGATATAGCAGGTCAAGGCCTACATGATGAAGCTGGTACGGAGTACATAGTAACTTGTCCATACGCCAGCGTTTGGCTGATATAATTGTTCAAATCTAGTCGATAATGCAGTCCACATTATATTATAACTGAGCTAGTCACTGTTTGCTAGATTGTATTAGTACAAAGCTAAGGCTAACCAGAGATAGCTGAAGTAGATACTGACATGACCGAGCTGGCTACCTACAAAGTGTAGTGGGGGAAGACGTCCTCTCCTCCACTACGTGCTGACATTGCCTGTTCATTCCTTGGTTACTATGCAGTATATTATGTAAACGCTGAGGGTACAAGTAGCAGATAGATACAGATTGACAAGACACACTCCTACACCTCTCGAATTGCTCTTCTTGGACGCCGGTCCACTTCCACTGTATGCCTCGGTTGGTATGACGTGGCCTTGTGAGTGCTGAATCGACCCGTATGCCTGAGAGCATACTGCCTAGAGCGTTCCCCTCTCAATAGGTAAGGGTTGTCAAGAATTTCCAGCTTCAAGTGACCAAAGAGACATTCCTGATGATTTTACTGCTCAATCTCAATCTCAGTACAGAGCCAAAATACCAGAATATTTATGATTATTAAATCGGGAGATCATATCGAGAAGGAAGTTTTTTTTTATCCAGAGCCTATCCATAGCTCTTCCCACAGATAGCCCTAGCCTTGAAATGCAGGAGACTGTTCTATATGACAGGAATGGTAAGTGTAGAGTAGAGTGAATTGAAAGATCCAAGGTAGATGGATTATATGACAGGAAAATAAAGTATGTAGTCATAGTTTACTAGTTTGAACCTTGAAAGTTTAGTTTTGCATGGGGATTTCCCCCTATTCCCGAGGTCCGTTTCCTGCCGACTTGGGATAGTCTTAGTTTTACCCAGATCCCTTGCATTTACCCGAGAATAGCCACGTGTGTTACCCGGGGTAACTAATATAGTTCCAAATGTAATGAAGTTGGGGCCGAGGAAAGCCGTCTTTCGTTGATCCCTAGGTCGAGACACGAAGACTATGGTACATTTAATATTATGGAAGCAAAATGAAACGAAACATATCGAATTGCCATTGAGAGAGATTGGACCCCTAAAGCCGGTTCCGTAATTGGGCCAAGCCAAGACATAGACCCTGTGTCTTGGAAGATTATCAGTATTGGCAAATTGGGTCACACGGATGAAGGCATATGGATATGACACGCTTAATTTAGCCATTTACCTAGTCCAGTTAAATTAATAATATGAATCAAAAAGTTCTCCGTGCCAAGCTAATCAATATAAGTTTTTGGATCTATTTGTATGTGGATAAGTGCATATTATGTTGTATGTACGGAGTACTATGTGCGTGGAATTCTGGAACATGACCCCGGACGGGGTTTATTCGTTGCTGATCCAGGATCTGACCCAAGGTATAAATAATTAAAGCATGTTGGTAAGCGTGTTCGTAAGCATATCAACACCACAAGGCCAGAAATATATCTCCCTAGGGTGGATTGTCAAACATCCAAGCTATAGTGTACGCAGTAGATGCAAGCATACTTCTTTCAATTTGGCTTCAAGAAAAATCGCTGACAGATCTTTGCTCAATTCACCCATTTCGTTATTGGTCAAGTTTCCTACCTTTATCTTAAAGCACTAGACCCCGCAAATAATGTTGAAATTTCTGACTCTGGGTGAGCCAAATACGTCTACGGTGTGGAGAGTCTTCTATGGGTTTTCTCAACAATATAACTCGGAAATCTCTCGGAGAAGGGAAGGTATCCACCCGAGGGAGAATACGTACATAAAGGACGTAGGTGGCTAGCCGAGGATATCAAGACTTTCCTTTTCTTTTTCGTAAAGTTACGATGATGCTCTCTGTAAGATCGTATACCTTAATACGGGAAAATCCGGAAGGTGACCGAGATGGTGGAGTGTATAGAAAACCCCAGGTTAAATTCGAAGTTGAATTTACTATGTCTTGGCACTTGGCGGTGGACAGGGCTTAAGCCTTTGGGGCTAGCTCAAGCATTTTCGTACCCGATTTTGGAATGCCGAGACCGGCCCGAGAAGGCAAAGAACCTCAAAAAACTGAACCTGAAAATTTTATGCCGGCATTTTATCGGAAAATAAATGATGCAATCCTCTAAAATGCTTCCAAGTGCTTCCCCAAAGTATTCCCCATGTACGGAGTATTATAAGTGATCTGAGAATGGGGACGATCGGAAACCCCTGTCAGGTCTCGGGTATGTATCATTCGGCATTTCATCCAATCAGCCCTGAGCAGCCTAGATTATCCCGTCACTTAACTGCGATTTTCGGCCCCAATGACCGTGGATCTAAACAGTTCTGATTCGGGTGTGGCGAAGGCACGGGATCCTTGCACACCGGGACCAAACCTACCCCGTGGAGTCGGCGATATGGTCGAGTCACAGTCCATATTTTCGAAATTTGACTAAATTGGTGGTACGGTGGATAGTTCCTATCCACTGTGGAATTATCCATCCCACAGGTACAGGATTTTAATTTTCTGATGCGGGGTCTCCACGAGAAGGGCTGACCGGAGGCTATAAACTCATACCGGTCTCCCTGGTCTTCTGTCTTTCTCTCATCCCTCAGAGTGACCTTCCATATACACACTCCAACATGGTCACATTATTCCGAGGAAAGGCGCTGAGCGTAGCGCAGGCGCTGCTCATTGTCGCACCGGCCTTCATCGTCTTCGGTTACAACCAGTCCGGCTTGGGTCCTCTGGCCACATTGCAGAGCTGGGTGAGCGTGTTCCCTGAAATCGACACAATCAACACAGAGGGTGACCAACGCGCGCATAACTCTACAGGCAAGGGTACCGTGATTGGATCCTTCCAGCTCGGTGCTCTATTCGGAGCCTTGTCGTGTACATTCCTGGGTGACCGGCTCGGTCGCCGCAAGACCATCTTCTTGGGTGCTATCCTTACTATCATTGGCCAATTGCTGCAGACTGCGGCTTACGGCTTGCCACAATTCATTGTCGGCCGTATCATCCTTGGTCTCGGTGTCGGTCAACTGAGTGTTGCCGTTCCCGTCTGGCAGTCTGAGTGCACATCAGCCAAACACCGTGGACAACACGTTGTCGTGGACGGTATCTGTATCTGTTTGGGTTATGTTCTCTGTAACTGGATTGATTTTGGCTTGAGCAAAGTCCCTGGAGCATTGCAGTGGCGTGTTCCGTTGGCCATTTCCTTCTTCTTCTCCCTGGTCGTTGTGGTTTCGGTCTTCTTGCTCCCCGAGTCTCCTCGATGGCTCGTGCGAGTTGGCCGGATCGAAGAGGCCTCTCAAAGTCTAGCTGCCTACAAGGGTCTGTCTGACGATGACGAGGCCGTCCGCACCGAAATCGCTGGTATCGAGACCTCCCTTGAGAGTACGGTCGACAGCACCTCGCTCATGGATATCTTCAGCAGCAAGGCCGATGATGAGCGCCTTCTCTACCGGTTCTGTCTGTGTGTTGCACTGCAATTCTTCCAGCAAATGTGTGGTGGAAACCTGATCTCGACATACGTGTCAACAATCTTCGAAGAGAACCTCAACATGAGCAGTGACCTGGCTCGCATTTTGTCTTCATGCGCCATGACCTGGAAGTTCATCTGCAGCTTCATCTCCTTCTTCGCCATCGATCGACTCGGCCGCCGAAAGATCTTCATGATCAGTGGTACTGGTATGTCTGTCTGCATGACCGTCCTCGCCATCACCAACAGCTTCAAAGACAACACAACTGCATCGATTGTTTCGGCCGTCTTCATCTTCCTTTTCAACTCGTTCTACCCTATCGGTTTCCTCGGCGGTAACTTCCTCTACTGTACCGAAGTCGCTCCTATGCGTCTCCGTGTCGCCATGTCCGCCGTCTCGACTGCGAACCACTGGCTGTGGAACTTTGTGGTTGTCATGATCACCCCCGTCGCGCTCGATACCATCGGATACAAATACTACATTGTATACGCTGTCATCTCTGCTTGCATTCCAGTCTCAGTTTACTTCTTCTACCCCGAGACGATGAACCGCAACTTGGAGGCTCTGAACCATGTCTTCCGCGATGCCGCGACCCCCTGGGATATTGTCGCCATGGCTCGTCACCTGCCTCAGGGCGAGGCTGCTGAGGTGGACATGTGGATGCAGTCGGAGGAGAAGCGTGCGATTGACCAGAAGGAAAATGCTTAAATTATAGATTAGATTTGTTGAGACGTTGCCAACTGTATATACTATGTCCGACGATGATGATGGAATGGATTGTACTGCAGTACAATTTGAATAGATGAGATCATTAGATTGAGCCTATCAAGAATTTCAAGTTTCTATATTTCATTTCCCTCTGAGATGTCCTATGAACAGCCTAAATGCAATTCAGTGAAGTAAATTATTTCTCCCTCCGGAACCTCAAGTCAACTTCTTTGTCTTCTATTCTTGGAACCCTGTCGACTTTAATAGCATCTTTAAGTTAATACACCATGTCATTTTCATTGATATTCTTCTCATTGTTTTCCCAATATTATCCCCTCCACTTCGAGTCTTTGTCTTCCGAGGCTATGTTTAGGTCCACGTCCACGTTCTTGGAGTATTGTTAATTGTTCATGGTTTGTGATTTATTCTTCGGCCCTATTTCTGATGAACTTTGTGCTTGGTCAGGATGAATATCATAATACTTCAACAAAGATCACAAATGTCCAAAGCTACCTATATAATCCCCCCTCTGCATGTCTCTTGGTTAAGAATCCAAGATAATTATCCAACAATAAACCACAACTCCATTATATCTGACTTCAATTGGTTGCTTCAGTTATCCCAAGATTACCAGCACAATGCTCAGAAAAATCCGTCACTCGTTGAATTGTCTTCCAAGACGCCACTGTAATTGTGACGATGACAGTGACCCTCCGGTCCAACCTCCCCGCCCACCGAGAAAAGGCCGACCTAATCGCCCAGTGGCAAAGGTACCAAACCAACCTCTACGTCAACCACTTCCTAAGAATGTGGTGAGAACCCCGGTTCCATCCGAGTCCCAGCCCAGCAATACAGGTGAGGAGAACGAAGAAGCTGAGGATGAAGAGGAGGAGGAAGGCGAGGAAGAAGGCGAGGAAGAAGGTGAGTATGAAGAGGACGAAGAAGCTGAGGAGGCCGATAACAGCGAGGATCATTATTCTGATGCCCACCCGCACACGGAGGTTTCTCACATAGGAATAACACCCCTATTGACTGGGGCAAATATCGAAGATGAGTCTTCGCCTAGTGATGGCCCATCTTCCCTTTCAACAAGATATCCCCACGCCGACAACCCATTCGAGGTAAGTGATAATGATTCCAGCAAGAGTGCATCTGGTGATGACTTTCACTCCGTCTCAAGAAATTTACACACAGGCATTACTCCTGAGATGAGTGATGCCGGCCTTGATGAGTCCCAATATCATTCATTGCCAGAATCAGAAGGAAGCCCTAGTCCAGTGAGGAGGTCTTCTACACGTGAAAACAGTGCCGACGAAGAGGGCTATGATGGAGCTGATGAGGACAGCTATAATTCCGACCTACCCGAACAAGTCGACGAAGAAATGTACAATCACACGACAGGGCATGAAGACGGATCCGAATATCACAGACGATCATGGCTGAGCACTTCTAGTGACAGGAGGCGCCGGCGTTCCCTAGAGAGTCAAGCTCAAGCCGATGCTGAATACAGGGATTCCGATGGCAGCAGCGGTAGCAACAAGCGGCAGCGTCTTGAACGCTCACCCGATACCGTAAGTAGGAGAGCGATGACTGGCGTCGAACCGACCACGAGAGACATATTCAGGTACCGGAGGAAAGGAGCACAATACCAAAGATGGATAGACGATCCCGAAGAGCTAGGTTGCAAAGTTTATCCGGCAGCATTAACTATAGAGCAGATGATTGACGAAGCGCAGCCATTGCCTTGGGTAATCCAGGATTCTCACCTGGTGGTAGAGCCCATGGCATTACAAGGCGGCGATGTCGAATCGATGAATATTGCTCGTGGAGGTAGCCGATACCGCTATACACACCTCCGAAGAGATCCGGGGCCAAATTCACGCGAGCCTAGTGAGTTTGAACATCTGGTTGCTCGTGGCATTCTCGTTGTGGAGAGACTTTGGAAGGAAGAAGGTCCTTATTGGAGTGAAGTCGCTCGGGCTCAATACTTGCTTGATTTTGGCCTGAAAACTCTGAGACATGTTGTGATTACTGATATCTGGAATGAGGAAACAGCTCCATATATATGCCATGAATTATACCCTAGATTGGGCGTTCCGTGGGCACAGGCAGAAAACGTCGACTGTATGGTATTTCAGCACGGTAGCACTGAGTATCACGAGCTCCTCGGTACACAGTTGGGTAAAGGCGTGGCTTGCCTTGTCCTTTCGTCATTCCCCAGGGGAACAATGAAGATCACCCAAATAGTCACTTGGTGTAATACAAAATCACCGCAGATGAGATTTGTGATTGAACCTGTTATTGGTGCGCCTATTGCGATGGCCACAGCTGCATGAGCTATATGATTTGATTAATTGCATTTACTGGTGTTAGTTCCTGGAATTGTCTTAGAAATAGAAATCATCTTACTATTATAATGTTCCAGTTTTTTTCTATAGTAGATGACCACACTAATGCAATGGATTCCTGGTAGCAGACTCTTCCAAGGGGGGTTTATAGTATATTTCCTCTGTTGGGTTGCGCCTTCCTACCTATGTAGCTCTAAAATGGAAGGAAACCAGGAAGTGGCCCCCCTGCACATAGGAATGGCTCTAACTCCTAATCGACACGCCTTATGCAACCTCCGAGCAGCCCCCGAGAACTGGTATAAGACTACTGTGGATTATGGACTCGTTTTAACGTGGATATCATTGGCTTCATGTTGAGATATCCGGAGCTTAGAAGGTAAGAAACCGTGCCAGATTCCCATATTTATCCGTTTCCAACTGTGATTTAAATACACCATTGGAGGAAATACGGGTGAGGTAAAAACCTTTGATCTAGGGGATCCGACAGGTGTCTTGAACCTGACTGGCCTGAAGGGTAGCCATTCACAGTGATTTGTGACTGACAAGGATTCGCCAGCCGCAAATGAGTGGAATCTAGGCCGGAGATTAGGAATTCGGGAAGATGCATTATGCAGGTTGGCACTTGACAGTCGGGTTGTCTCTTACCTATGTCGGTAGTCTGGCAAATGGGTGATGATAACAGAAATATCAGATTATCCGCAATGCGGCTCAGTGGTTTAGTGGGATAATTCGTCTTTCGGGAGAAATCTCTGGTTTCAAAGTTACCTAATATAGACGAGGTCCCGGGTTCGATTCCCGGCTGAGCCCCATTTTTTTAATATATTTTTGAATTCCCCCTATTGTACGAAGTATATGACTGCGTTGTAGTTAATTATCCACACCGTTTGCTATATTTACCTATGAAACATAGATAGAAAGAATGGCGCTCGTATATGACCCCATGTACGAGGAGGAATGCGTAGGTTCGATCTCATGGATCACAATTGCATTGACCTCCGCACCTCTTTTTCCAGTGATAAACATTGTAGGAATTTTGGCTTTTCGATCCAATCCCCTTGAGATCCTGGGAAATTCTCCGATCAGACCCCTCAATAGCAAACAAAGAAATCCCATATGCCAAGGTCACTAGGGTCGGCTAGACATAAATAGCGCGCGTACGAGAACTAGTTAGGTAGTCCGGCAAACGACAGACCAACGACAGATCAACGATACTGAGGTCCGCTCATGCAACTAGATAATAGCTTAAAGCTACCATCCGTGTCCAACAGCAAAAGGGAAAGCTCCGATTCAGCGGTGAGAATCATCTACACATCAATGGCTGGTTATAATAGCTATGATGGCTAGGACGGCTGGGATGACAAGGATTGTCTAGTGTCGGGGCAGTGTATGGACTAATGATGCGGGGCTCGTTGCGCCCTGCTCTTTCTTTCCGATATTGGAGCTGTCTCTCTACATTTGCCCGTATGTGATTCTGCCAATCTATATGGCTTTCTAGGGAATTCTACACAATGAGCGACCTCGATGAAGAGATAGAGTGTTCATTTACTATGGGAGTGGATGGGGGAGAGAATGGAAAGGGGAGAGAATGCACAGGGGAGAGAATGGAAGAGAAAGAAGGAGCTAACTCCATGGTTTTGATGCCAAGGGGGTTTAATTAACTTAGGTTTGACTCCGTACTCCGGCTGTACTCCAGATTACGGCGTCTAAAGACCTTGAGCCTAAATGGGAGATCATTAATCCCCATTCCATCTGCAACCTAAGATTGGACCTCTATATAAGGGTGCATTTTCCGGCCTGGATTTGAACTATACATCTGATTTACTTCTCTTGATAATGCGCTTACTGTGGTCGTTATCAGCACTGGCTCTCTCAGCCGAGGCCATCAAAACAGCAGGATGTCCTCTTTTAGGACCGGCATTCCCAGCCCCTACTGCCCTGTCAAACGATCCCACTTTCCTCAGCAAAGCTGAAGAACTGACCTTCAAGCTCAATAAAGCCGTTGAGGATGGAGGCCTACCTTCCATATCGTTCGCAGTGCAGGTCTTCAGCAGTGAAGAAGACGATTCGGCATTTGATTTCTACCACACAGATCATCCAGTTACAGTTGGATCTGTTGGTGTTCAAGAGGTCGACGAGGATACCATGTTTCGCATTGGTAGCATCTCAAAACTGTGGACTATGTTTCTCTTCATGACCTTTGAAGGAACACGGTACTTCCACGAGCCCGTTTCGAAATACGTGCCTGAGCTGCGAACAAAGTACAGCCCAGCACAAGCAAAAGATAAAATTAATTATTTGCAATGGAGCGACGTGACTATCGGCGAACTGGCTAGTCACCAAGCGGGCCTTGCAAGAGACTGTATGATGATCATAACCTGACGACCCCAGCGCCCGATGTGAAAAAGAAACTGAACTTGGATTCTAGATGCATTTGGCGATCTTGGATTTAATTCGGAGCTTTTACAAACCTTTGGATTCCCTTCGCTCCCAAAGAAAGAGAAGTTGACTTGTGGGAGTGAGTATCCATGTGATAGGAAAGGTAAGTCAATTGCGACTCTCACACTATAACTCGAGTTGTGGCTGATAGAGGGAATAATTTCAAGAATTCTTCCGTGGCATTCTAAAAACGCGTAAGTAGGGCGATTCCCCTGGCTTTAGACATACCCTAACGAGGCCCATTAGATCCCTTGACTTCGACCTCACAGACACCGATATACTCGAACGCAGGGTATCAAATTCTTGGCTACGTATTGGAGTCAATCGCAAAAGCCGACTATGAAGACATATTAATGGACCGTCTTATCAAGCCACTCAACTTGACTCGGTCCTGTCTTCAAGCCCCCGACCCTAGCTTGGCGGTAATTCCTCACAATGAGACTTACAGTTGGTTTGATTATGAGATTGGCGAAGAAGCTCCGTGAGTGCTAATCAACCGCTTGAAGTACACATAGCTTACATATTTTGAGTGCTGGGGGAAATTTTCTCTTCCGCAAAGGATATGGCCACATTCGGCCGTGCCGTTCTTTCCAGCGCCCTTGTTAACCCTGCCGTGACAAGACGGTGGCTGAAGCCCGTAACACACACATCATCCCTGCAACACTCCGTGGGAGCCCCCTGGGAGATCTATACATTTTTAACACCTCGCCGGGTTGATATGTACGCTAAAGCTGGGGACATCGGACTGTACTCCAGTTTTATCGGCCTTTCACCAGATCACAACACCGGTATCACGGTTTTAGTTGCCGGTAATAACTCTCACACGATGACATCGACAATCTCGGAGATGGTTTCCGATATCATACTTCCCACGCTCGACGATGTCGCCAGAAACCAAGCCCTTGAAAGATTTGGGGGTACATATGCCTTGACAGAAGGCTCCTCCAATTCCTCAATTACCATCACTGCCGATGACGGGGCTGGCTTGGTAGTCTCATCATGGACCAGCGACTCGGCGGATATGATCGAGACTATAATGAGGTTACAACAAGTGAATGATCGCTCTGCGATAAGCATTCGTTTACAGCCTAGCGGTCTCGAAACCCCAGGGCGGATCTCTTTCTTGGCTGTTATCTATCATCTTACCGTGTCGGAAGATGCTGGGCCCCTTGTTGGATCCTGCTTTTCGTGGATTTTGCTCGAGTCCATGGTATATGGCAACGTGGGTCTCCCAGAGTTTGAGTTCACACTGGATCACGATGGGGATGCGACGAGCTTATCCCCTCGGGCGTTGCGCGTTACTCTGCCTAAGATTTAGCGGGCTGGCAATATCTCATTCGTGCTTGATTTCTCATGAATTCTTGAACTCGGCGGTTATTTCAATTTTTGCTGTATAGAGTTACTCTGCATACCAGCGCTGCGATGTCGATTGGCTATGTCTGGACGTTCGAGAACGGTGCGCCAAGCTAGCAAGAATGAATGATTGTTATGAATACCATCATTATTAAGTTTCTCTCAGATTCTCGTAGCAATTAAACATTTTAGTATATGTAGATAGCAAGCAAGTCGCGTGTCATATATGCATGGTGATGGCTTCTTTCATTAAAGCTAAGATTCACCCATAGTCTTCGAGATCTACAAGGGAGGTGTGTAGATTAAATTGATTTACTATATTCGTTTCAACGGGTTCAGGATTGACCTTACATTTGTGGCCCAAGGCGCTGAATTGAATTTTCGAGGAGCGCGAATTATCACGAAGCCATGCGTATGACGCCAGCCAGAAGAACCAGTCGGATCTTAAGTGAAGTTATCCTCTTAACCCCTACTTAAGGATGGTCCCGGGTTCCATCTAGTGCGCTTAATAGTCGAATGGAATTTGATGGCTTCCATTCCAGGTTAGGGCACAGACCTTTGAGAAGAGAGGGAAAATATGAGAACTCGTCAAGTTTATCGATGCAGGCCAGACGCGTCTTTTGTCTCGATCAATTCCGTATCATGAAATACCAATGTTGCACATGCTTCCTACGCTATTGTTGGCTCAAGCCTAACACGCCTGTATGGATCAATTGTTTAGGGGTCAGAAATATTTCCCCTATTTGCTCTATAGATAAGACACATGAGAGAAAAGTAACACTGGCTAGGTGGAAAACTTTCCAGGTCAGGAGCTAAAATCAAATGAGCCCTTACCGCTAGCAAGCTCCCTTTGACAAATGCCCCTGCGCCACGGGCGCGGGTCATGAGTTCAAGCATGCTACGGTAGTGTAAAAGAAGCGAGAATCAACAAACAGAAAATTCTCGCAATGAAAGCAATCTGTATAGTATATCTGTATGGTATTATGTTGTGTAGTGTATTGCCTCGGCCAAGCGCACAAAATAGCTCAATTATTGCGATAACTACATGTACCTAAGAACCCTCCAACAGAGAACATCAATTATTCAAGGTAGATAACCAAAAAGGCGCAAAGCGAGACGAGGCATAAATGTGCAAGCTGTAAAACGATTGAAACTCTTATGTGACTAACAGGCCGGGCATCTGCTAGAACTTGATTTTGATTTTGATTTACCATTTTTCTTGAATTCAAATTTGAGTCAGGAACAGGGGAGGGAAGGCTGTACAACTACATTGCTCAGCTAGCTATCATTTTTGGGGGGGGGGGGGTTATGAGACATTGGATTGTTTATTATCCGAGCCGGTAGATCATGTGCGTTAGAGCGATCGAGGCCATCGATCGTTTTCTATCCCTTTCTTACTCTGTCTACCTCGCCCTCTAATGTCTGACGCTACCATGCCTGGTCAATTCGACAATCACCAGTCAATCATTGACTTTTGCCGTTCTTGTCCGGAGGATCAGCTTATTGGAGGCTTGAGGTCTGGTAACCAGGTCGCTAAGCTACCAGATTGCGACTTGGTAGTCAAGTTCGGCCCGTTTGTTTCCTCCCATGAGGCAAAGAATCAGCAAAAAGCATACGGCATAATTGATCCAGATATCGTTACAGTCCCTTCGGTTCATACTTTCTTTGTGGACGATGAGGGTTGGGGCTACATAATATCGGATTATATTCAGGGCAAAATTATCGATCCTCTTTCAGACTCTCACATTAAAAAACTCGCCCGCATTCTTGAATATTTTCACTCTATTACCGACGATAGGGCTGGTAGCCTATGTGGTGGCCCTTCAATTGGCTTGCTCTGGCCAGATACAAATGATCTGACCCTTAGCAATTTTCAGCAAGTGAATGAATGGTTCAACAGCCGGCTTTTTCCTGGAGATGGTAAGGTTCATTTTGATCCAACCCTACTCGTGCTCTGTCATTTAGACATAGCCCCCCGAAACGTTATCTGGTTGGACGATGGCCGTATCCGTTTACTGGACTGGGCATCAGCAGGGTTTTATCCGAGACCATTGGAATTTGCCAGTCTATTTTTTCAAGAACACCGTTTTAGCGACATGCTTTTGAAAGCAGTCGGTTTTGACTCTGGTCGTGATAAAGATGAACAGCAGAGGATCTGCCAGGCATTGTATAACAATGAAAGGTACTCTTTGTAAGTCAGAACCCATCAGAATTTCTTTTTTTATCAATTTTCTGACTCGGAAAATAGTCGTTCACGGGATATTCGAGAAGGGTCTTCGCATGATAAAACACCTGGTTGTATCTTTCCTCTTCCATTACTTCCGGAACCGCAAAAACTTCCGATTTGACGAGGGGGGAACGATACTAGTGAATTATGGGAATGAATTTGATCTCTAGATTATCTGGTGGGCATATATAGCCTGCAATAGGGGGCCTTCTTACAGTACTAGTAGCTTCTCATGAAGGCTAGAATATTCTAGATCTATTGGGATCACTCGATATCTCTAACTTCGATGTTCGAAACGACTCGGCTGCATTAATCAGCCATTATAATGTTAAACTTATTGACCTTTAATTGATGCAGCTGGCTACCAGCTCATTCCCCAAAAAAATGCGTTAGTGGCCTGGAAAATTGTGTTGAGAGAGACGTCTCTCTTACGGCTCGCGAATCAACAGAATTGAGATCATTGTGCTATCTTCTATTCATGACTTCTATTTACTTATTCATGGTAAGTGATTCACTTAAAGGCCGATGTCACCTACGAACCGTCGGGCAGCTCCTATCTTCACACTATGCGTAACGAAGAAACTTGAGTCTTGGTCCTCATAAATCTGCATAAGATCGAGACAGTTCTCAAGGGTCACATTGTGTGCTTTGTTGATGTTATCCCTGAATGTCTCGTTGGTTACCCGTGACTGCTGCCATTCCGTATATTCGTTCACAGCCACATTAAGGAACCCGTGAATCGTGATTGGTTTAATAAAGTTACGTTTAGCAAGCACACCTTTATAGGTAGGCGAAGTGGATAATGGTATATGAGATGACGCCACCGGCAGAATATTGTTGTTGATATTGATCGGAGGACACGTTGAATAGCTTGAAGAGTTATTCGAGCTTTTCTTCTTTTCGAGTCGCTGATTTTCCTCCTTATAAAGCTGCTCACGAAAGGTGTCGGGAATATCATTATGAGTATCGAGTAGTCCACCCTCCTCCATATATCTGATGAGGTCCTTTAAATGTTGTGTTCTCAATCTATAATGCTTCTTGCCCTCGGGATCTTGCTAGTAATATTGCCCTTTATGGCGGCACGGAGGCCCCGGACATCGTATGATACGATACACATCTCGCCAGACTGGGTCATGACCCGAGGCATGCTCGGCGTTAATCTGAGCGTCTCGTTCGGCGAGCACTCGCTTAGTCACGGATGATCTTCCTCTCTTGTTAGTGCTGGAAGGAAGAGACCCGCTGTCATCTATATAGTTAATAGCTATCTGAAGCCGGATCGTCTTGCCACGATGAAAAAGATATCAACACTAGTACCCTCGAAATGTTTATCTATCTTCCGTCGTATAATTTTATTAGCGTCCGTTTTCATCTCTTCCTAGTAAGAGCTGGGACGCAGTGTCAAGTCTTGTTTCGTATCTTTCACCAGAACTCGGTTATTCACTTTGACCTTCCACTCAATTTGGTAGTGAATGCAGTCTGTAGACTGTTTATCCCATGCATTTCCATCACCACGTCCAATCTGTTGGCGAGACGAATATTCATGCAAGGAAGATGAACGTTCATCATTGATGTCGTCGGGGTTCGGTAAAGGGCAGATTATTGACGGTGTGTGTTCGCGGTCCAAAGAGCCAGGGGTGGGAGCATACAAGTAGACTTCCGCAAAGCAACTCGATTTTCTAAGAATTGACATACATGAATATGAGTAAATTGACATACTTTTGGTCTGATATACGAGATGGAAGGAACTCTGGCCAACATGCGACAAAAACAGAGATCCCACACTCAAGAAGAGTACAATTTCTTCTCGTGGCTGTGCAAGCCATGGACATTACCCTCGGTCTGTGCGCTTGCACTTCTCATCTCAAAGCGAACTGACCCCTTGTTTACCCCGTCACGCAGGGCATCAAGAGTCTGGACACCAATATCCTGGAGAGAATGCTGCACGCCCGCAACAAGGTAAGGGACAAACTTGGTAATTGAGCCACGATCAATAACGGAGCCCGCAACACCCTGCGCAACCTTGACCTTATCATTGTCAGAGAAGTACCGCGAAGCCCCGGCATTATTACCGCCGCCACTCTTAGTCTTGTCCTCCATGACGGCAATACTGCCCATACCACGGAAGGCCTTGACCAACTGTCCTTCACTGCTCACAAAGTACTCGCCAGGAGACTCAGTGGTTCCAGCAAGCAGGCTTCCCATCATAACTGCCGAAGCACCTAGCGCAAGTCCCTTCACGATGTGACCCAGGTTCTGGACACCACCGTCAGCAATGGTAGGGACACCAAACCGTGCGGCAAAGGCAGATACACTGCGCACGGCTGCAGCCTGAGGACGACCAGCGGCCATAACTTCTTGTGTGATACAGGCGGAGCCACTACCCATACCGATGCGTAGACTGTCCGCACCGGCAGCAATCAGTGCCGCGGCTTGCTCCCGGGTAACAATATTACCCGCGATAATATCAATGTCGGGGAATGTCTGTTTGATGTATTTGATCATAGCAATCTGGAACTTGCTGTTGCCTTGGGAACTGTCCACAACGACAATATCTAGACCGGCGTCGACGAGCTTCTGCAGACGGACCTTGTCTGCCTCGTGGGTGCTCACGGCCGCCGCGCAGAGCAGCTGTTTAGATGGAAGCTTTGATGCAAGAGGATAGTGAATGTTCTTCATCAAGTCACTTCGGGAGAGCAGGGAGACAAGGGACCCTTCTTTATCCACAATTGGCAGCTTGCCCTTCTTTGACTTCCGGAGGACTTCATTGGCTTCGGCAAGAGTGGTGCCTGCGGGTGCGGTGACTAGTTCTGTCGCCATAACAGCCGTGACTGGATCCTCGAGGGTTTTATGGAACTGGATGTCTCTGCTGGTGACGATACCAAGAAGCTTTGAATGGAGGGTTCCCTTTTCTGTGAATGAAACAAGGTAAGAATCACCAAACAAAAAGGAAACCAGAAAAATAAAGGAGAAATCCAACTAACCAGTCACCGGGAACCCGCCGAATCCCCATTTAGTCTTCAGTTCCTTTGCCTCTCCGACCGTCGTGCCCGGAGACAGAACAATGGGGTCCTGGATGAAGCCATTTTCAAAGCGTTTCACTTTCCTCACCATCTCAGCTTGCTCGTCTGGCGGGCAGTTATTGTGGATAACACCCAGACCGCCAAGAAGAGCCATATGGATGGCCATATTGTGTTCGGTGACGGTGTCCATGGGAGAAGAGAGAAGAGGGGCTTTGATAGTGAACCGCCGAGTTACTTTGGTATCCAAGGAAACGTCCGATGCCGGGAACGCTGCTTTGAGATTAGAAATGACGACCGATAAAATAAGTTTGATTGCCTTACTGATAGAACCGGGCAAAATGAGGAAGTCATTGTAGGTCAAGGCTCCATGATTATCCGAGTCGAGAAGAGTATCGACGTGGAGGCCATCTCTAGAAGGATACTCCTTGAGTATCTCCAAAGCCTTAGTGTAATCCTCGACTTTGACCATAATGCCGGTAAATATATTTAAAAAAGGCTAGTAGGGAATGGGAATGGGGATGATTCCCAAAGGAAGGCAGAGGGGCAGGGGGGTTGCGTCCTTTTATCAAGGCTCTAAAAGTGGCCCCCTGGGGCCGGTTTTTTTGTTTTGATAATCTGAACGCTGTAATGACCAATTCAATCCACATTGTTTCAATTGCTGCTCCATAATGGGCCTGTTCTAAGTTTCTAGCGTACAAGTTTACTATTGTCGCAAAAGTACAGGCCCAGAACTATAACACGCTAGCAGGGGGTAGAGAACTACCCAATCAATGTGGAACAATATGACTCGAAGGTATTTATAGAGTGTCGGTGTAGAGCTGGATGCGACGCTCGATTTTACAGAGCACTCCGTGTGGAGTACCTAAGAGGGAAAAACGTCGAGACAAGCCTTATCGGACTGAGGATCATCCTTCTCGGTCTATTGCCTTCTAGACTTCTAGAGTTTTAGTCGTAACTCTATATCGTATTTACTATTCGCCCAACGATAGACGAATGCCGGATATAGGGACTTAAGTCCACAAGAATAAGGCCCCAGAGTACCTGTAGGGTTCCACATCTCTACGGAGAGGATATAGGAGACATTTATGCGGGCCAGTTTGCGCGTTACGCCCGCACATCTGGCCCCGAAGTTTGAACGCTCAATCGGCCTAGATTTGGGGCCGATTGAGGGTTCTATACCAATCGGCTGATGTCTTTTTCTCCATTAAGTGGGTCATATATATTAGCTTTTGCTCCTCAATAACAATATTATATAGACGGGAGTAGCCCTTCGCCAGGAACAACATTTGCTATAATCTTGATTAGATCCTCGTCTACAAAGCATAAGGAATAGAGTGCATATATAGTACGCCAGAGCAGCTCAAAATAGGTTAATGGTCCCGCCTAGGGGTATTGTACCTATTAAATATCGTTGCCCTTCAAAATCTATCTATCTTACAGGTCCCAGAGCGTTATTCCCTCCGCTCCTACGACAATCACACAATAAGTCCACGGCCCACACTCGAATTCAAATGTACTTAATCATCACAGTCCTACGACGGTGTATAGCGCTCAATGATAAATGCCCGAATTTGATGCCTGGGTGCCTTATTTTAGACCGCTTTTAGGCCTCTCTATACAGTTAGTTACTGTAACCAACTCAGCATGGAATAACTTGACGCCGGTAACCCATAAAATGGAAGCCTTTCATCTCCATACAAATGGCAGTATCTCCATGTTTTTGGACGGTCGGCTAGTGTCAAAATTGAAGCCTTTGATCCCATAGAGATGGTAGTATCTCCATGTTTTTGACACTTGCCGACCGTCTAAAATATGGAGATATCGCGATTTGTATAGAGATAAAAGGCTTCATTTTCATTCCTACCTTAGGCTAGCGGAACCAGTGTACATTGCTTATTAAGGGATCTGTAATAGTAATTCACGTATTTTTATTTTTCTGCCAGGCCAAAACAAGGCACCAAGGCATCAAATTCAGGCATTTATCATTGAGCGCTATAACTAACTACACCGTCGTACTACTATTATTACACTTTCGGAAATTACGCTCATGGTAACAATAAAGCTGAATTGGTACCGGCCTCTGAGTTTCAATTTATGAACGCAACACATAAAAACACGTATAACTGGTAATCCTGCCGCGATCCACTTCATTTACAGAACCCAAAGATGTTGAATCAATGGAACTGAATGAAAGCTATGACTTTGCCTCAATCCTAATTCACAAGCTCCCACTCTTCACCAGAATACTTGACTTTGTAAGCCAGGTGTGGGTGGTCGCTGTTGTTACCATCTCCATCATTCCAATTAACCCCAAGGTCCCCATTGTAAAAGCTACCGAAAGCGAACCTGAAGGGAGTTGAAGTAACCGAAACCGAAGTGTTGAAGACACCAACGGGGTGGGTTCCACGTGAGTTCAGTGCAGCCAGTTGGATATCGTCTTTTCTTTCAAGAACTCGACGATCATTTGCCGGCGAAGGCTTTGCTGAGTCGTCTCGATTGATTTGAAACTTGGTTGCTTTTCTGGTATCAAGAACAAGCTTGTGGTCTGGCTCTTGAAGGAACCAGTACAAATGGGGTGTCGACTTGGTGCGGATATAATAGGAACCACCTGACACATACTCCACATTGGATGTTGCGTCATTGGGAATGATCGGCATGGCGCCAGTAGCATGATTGTTGTCGTATCCGCTGATTCGGGCAACCATGGTAGTCGACATGAGGTCCTTGGCATTTGAATCAATGAAATAAAAGGGCCGAGATTCCGGCGTATCCTTGGGGAACGTCCAGAACTGAGGACTGTATCTCACGATAGTGTCGAACGGATTGACAGTTCCAGCAGCTGTAGTCGTGATGCACCGGTTGTAGAATTCGTCTGCATACTGTCTGTTGGGGAAGACGAGAATTTCTCGACCACTGTATTGGTCTCCAGTCCAATTAAGGTAAACCTGATAGACCATCTGGCAATGAAGGACGGTAAAGTAAGTATGTGTCTTTTTCTGGAAGGGGATGTTGTTCACCTTGGAGTATGTCAATGAATTTGGACTTCCTTATTACTTTATGACACTTTGAGGGAAGAAATGGCAATGGACTGAAATAATGTATTAGATTACTCGGGAAACAGCCATTTTATAGATGACTCCTCTCCCGGAGATGCAAGAAGATTGCGGAGATATACACTTCATGCAAGACGCATCACCATACAATGCGTGATTCATGCGTCTGTAGATACATACGGAGTAATCCGTACGCGATAATTTATGATGTATGATGTGTGAACACGAGCTCAATAATTGCCAAGCTAAGCAGAAACACTTACATATCTAGCTAGCTGTTTCAACTTAATCAACCGCGCCTCTCTGCATGATGTTGCCTTGACAGCCAGCCACTGCCCTCAGTGTGATAACCCCGCAATACATTTGTTTGGAATCATGAGAAGGCAAATACTACAAAAATCAAGAAGTTTAACACATAGTGAATATGGATTTGGGTCAATCTTGGAGGAACCTGAGAAAGTTTGAACAGACGCTTCTTTACCTTGATCACAAATACATATACTATTTGGTAAGTGATACGCAAGTCGTACAATCCCCCTGAGGCCCAACGGTAAGGTGGAGCTGAAAGGTGATTGACATACGCGAGTTTGCCTAAAAGCGATGGGGTCATGCAGGGATCTTGCACTAGTCCAGTGACAATCTGATATCAGTGTTTGTGGCGTCATGTCATTTAGTTTGTGCATAATTATGGAGTACTCCGTAACGAGATTGAGATTAATACATTGAATATCAATTTACTAGAGAGCTTGGGGTTGACCGCTTGTACTGGCCACTCCCATACGTAAGTTATAATCCAAAGTGCCATGATCACGGCTGGTTTGAGCTAGATACGCCTAAGCGAATTCGAGTAAAAATGGAAGCAAAATTGTCGAAGGAAACAGCCACCAGGGCTTGGCCTTGAGAGCGCAGTTGCATGGTGGTAGAATGTAGCAGCTAATGTGTGGGAGCCTGTCATGTACGTCGCACATGATTTAACTATCCACTTCTTTTACCACCTTACTCTCTCCTGTACATAGACCTATAGGCTTACCCAGCGTCTCACATGGCTCTCGTTTCTCATTGAAGGCGAATTTTCGAGTGGAATTCTTAATACTTATATAAATTTCCGATCCCTAAATCCTCTATAGTCTACTATCAAACATCAGATATGGCGCCTCTAGGCCCCATACAAGAATCATGGTTTTTGCTGTGGTCTAGTGGTAAAATAAGCTGCACTCTCCCCTTTATCTACCTTTCTATACATCTATTATACTATATATTGTATTCTTTCATCTTTTTTATACTTTACGACCAATTCTTCCTGTTCTTGTAACTATAAAGCTAGCAAAGAAATACTTAAAAATGACATCCACAATAATACCTTAGATGTCTTGAACGACAAAAATACGACAGAATTACTGAAAACACAACCCAAAAGTCCACTCGAAGGACTACCAACCGAATACTTGAAAAGGTACTAACAAAGGGTCGAAATTGACTATAGGAAAGTCTGAGCACTGGCGGTAATAGACTGCTGTATATTGTAGTCTGGCCCCCCGGGGCCCTCTGGCCTCGGTTGTACATATCCTACTAAGTTTTCACTAATCATAGATAATCCCGTCGGGCTGGTGCTATAGCTTCTGAAGCCTGCCATGACCATATGTTGGCAAGAAGCTCAGCTCCACATATCTATTAACTAGATAGAAGACAGTGACGCACTTCCACCAAGAAGCGAGAGAAGAAAGATTTCGTTCATTACTAACATTATGCGTGTCAAACGAGATGTGCTAATCATGCAGTATTAATGGGTTTGTCGGTGAGGGCTGGAGAGATGTGCTTATGTGGTCCCGTTTTATTCAAGGTCTCCATCCCTAACCGATTTCTTGGGTTGTCTCTTGACTAAGTGTTTACTGTACATTTGTCATGGCTAGTTCTTGGTGAAAGTCCTTGTAGTTTGCATGGGCAAGCTGACGGCAACTCTTCCGCTTCAGATATATGGTGTGGTTCTGGTTCTTTCCGTGCTTAGTAGCTCTTTGGAAGAAATAATGTCTCAGGTAAATTAATAACATACTTGAAGCCGCACCTTAATCGCTAATGGATATAAAGGGCTGATGATACCACCGTCATTATTGCAGCCGAGTTAGGACTCTCAATCTTTGTTTTGTTTAGTACTAGGCAAACAAGCCTGCTTGGTCGATCAATGTGAGATAGGATCCATATCGACAAGCCATGATTCCATCAACATCCTTCGTGGACTTTGACAAACATATGAATGAATACACTGCTACTGCGTATACTACTGCGTATTTCTGCTACTGCAGAGCTGTGACCGGGGTGAGCCTTAACTTGCAATGTGATATCAATTTGGAGTAAGTGGACCCATACTAGTCCCAAAATATCATTCCCACGCCGGGTACCTCGGCGAGCGAAAAATGATTCTTATCTATTTAGGGCTAACCTAATTCATTTACGTGAATGCCTTTACAACTCTTGGTTTCGGCCGAAGACCACATCCCGCGTAAATTTATTGGACGGGCCAATGGACTTTAAGCAGATCAAGAACGAAAAATAACTCTTATATTAAAGCGTGCTTCATATACTGGATTCACGGAATATAAAATCATTGGGCAGATGATCTGCAGTGCCTCTATGTTGCAGAGAGGCAGTGCGTACAACATAGTGGCTTGCTAGGAATAAAGGTAACAACCGGAGTTCCTAAGCATTGTGAATCTAGGTGATGTGCAAGTCCAGCGATGTAATCTCAACTATATGACATCTCGAGGGAAGTGCAGTGGCTAGCTAGGAACAAAGTAACAGCTGAAGGCCGACACACTACGAATCTAAGATGCAAGTCCAGCAGTGTGAATTGAGCCACGTCGTACATGATACCACAAAGGAAGTGCAATGACGAGCTGGGAACAAGGTAACAGCCTAAGTGCCAGCCTAGTGCGAATCTAGGCGATGTGCACGTACAGTAATGTGGAATATATGAGATCATCGTTTACAAGTAAAGTATATAAGGTGTTTAATCACAGCTATCGTTTTAGATTTTAGATCACTTGATCATTGAGATTAGCTTCATATTCTATAATGGTCCTCCCAACAGAATCCAATCTCCAGCTCTTATCGACTTCCCTATTTCAATCGGACGAATATGAAGCCCCAGGCTATAAAACCCTGGAATGCTCTTACTACCGCGCTAGAGTAATAGGTAGACATCATGGTGAGTGATATAGCATGAAGTCACTAGATGGAAATTAATATGATTATAGGACTGACCATTGACGACATCCTCTCTCACAACCTCAAGTTCTGGCAATCACATATGGATGCAATAATCATCCGGGATATCGTGGCTCACCTTTTTGCAATTCAATATAATCTGGTTGCTGGCACGATTGCCCCTTATGCTACGAAGAGGCCGGACCTGCGACCGGTGATGGAGAAAAATTTTGAACTTTGATGTCTCGAACGCATCCAGCAATACCATTTTAGGGAACTGGCTCACTCATCATCTTACAGTGCTTGCTTTATGCTCAATGAGATTAACCATGGCTGTGGTGCAAAGAACCTTGAAACCACTGCGATGTTACAGTCCGATGGCAGTTTCATTCTCCACAGTCCCACGCCCAGAGCAGCAAAGTAGGCAGAACAACAACGTGCGTGAGAGGGAAAAGCAAACATAATCCTTCCAACTCCAACTAAAGATGTTCATATTGCTTGCTCCCATCGCCTGTGGACGAACTCTCGACCACTCCATAACTTCGTTCAACCAAGTTTGCCTCCCACCAACGGCTATGTTAGGCATTCCCAAAAAGCCCGCCAACATGCGATCGCAATTTCTGATCGCAATCAACCGTCTAGGATCTGGAACACTGGCTTTAAGCTTGTCAACGATACCCGCTCTTAAATGCACCGCGCTCATAGTGGGCAGGTACAGCCTCCGTCGAATGGTTTGTGATACTTAAGGATCTCCGAAGCCGATCATCTCCTTCCGTACTCAGCAGCTGCCCATCTTGCATGCCCTGGCAGAGTGCGCAGTTATGGAACCGTTTGCGAACTGGATCACAGCTCAATTCAGTGATACTTCACTTGACTTTTCCGTGAGACATGCGTTCGCAGTTATCTTCAAGGGCGCCGTCATGCAATACACCCAGAAGAGCTTTGGAGATATCCTTGAGAGTTGTGGCACTCAGGGCGTGTTTGTTCATAATCAGCTGGCGGAAATCGAGGTTAGTTGATTGAGAACAACCGAAAGATCACCCATGACGAAATACTAACAGCCCTTTGTAGGCTCCCAATCGATGTAACGGTATCCCAGAAGGAGAAATTCTAGTTCTTTGCATTTGTGAGGTCCCCAGAACTTCAGCATGTACATATTACACGACTTACACATTCTAGGCCTGGCCACTGAAATCCTTCTTGACCGATACCAGATCCCCAAAGCCACCAAGCCAGAATCCATAATAGCAAAGCACGAGGAAGGATATATTTCAGAGATGCTGAAGCTCCAGGGGAGTATTCACGAAGGACACAGAAGCGAGGCGTACAACAATCGCATACTCCCTCATTGCCGGCCCATAATCCTAGCAATCGGCCAGGTGATCACAAAAAGAACAGAGGCTTATGTAATACTCCAGGGAGACCAATTGGTATACCTCGACAGCATATTAGGCATCTATACATATAAGAGATATTGACAGGTCAAACACAGAATGTCTCGGCCGAATCGGTACCGAATTAGGACCGAAGTGAGATTTTGCTTATTCCAATCCCAAGCGTCCCAAGGTAGTTATGTATTAGCACAATTGCTGGCCTTTGAATGGCCATACTGCTTCCCACTTTGTTCACTTGTGAATTTAGAATTCATGCCTACATTCTTCCAACCGTACTTTGTAGTACTCATAGCTACTGTGGTTCAGCCATCCCATCCTCGTTATACACCGTGATCGAGGAAATCCTCTATTACAACTCTACTGGCCCACTTTTCCTCGTCTTCCTTTTGCTTTTTCTTGCCCTCCTCGGTAAAAGAAAGCGAACATGGTAGGGATGATCCAACATGAGTTGTCCATTCTTCCTGTAGTCTTATGAGCATGCCTTGAACAATTGGTTCACCGTCACCGAAAACAGAGTCCGAAAGCCCCGTGATTTGGCCAGCAAGTGAATATTTGAACTGCAATGCGGCTGCAATCTCAGGGCATTGCTGGATCATCTCGATATCATAAAGCTTATAGAGAGACTGGGCAGCACAAAGCTTCTTCGCCCCGAGCTGTTCTTCCGCGCTGAGCTCATCAAAATTCTCAGGTAGTCTGATTGATTGCAGTCCCTTGGGGATGGGCCCATCGAATTCAATCAGGGCAGGATGGCGGACTTGAAGAAATAGAGGCGACAGGTTCACGGCCTGCCAATCAATTATAGAAAGAATCCCTGTTGGCTGATCCGGGTCCACGAAGATATTATCCCCGTGTAAGTCGGGGTGCCATAAAGCAGCCTTGGATACTTCTTTGTCTTTCGGTGATTAAAACCTAGCCACCTCCCGTAAATTTCACAGTGTATCTTGCTTGCGTTGAGCGGCGGGCTGGTATTGACCAGGCCCATAACAAAGGCCTTGTTGACGTGGGAAATGTGTAAAAGTTTGCAGACAAGCAAGTTCGTGGTGGGCTCGAGCAAAAGCTTAATCCTCAACGGATGCCCCTATCAGAAAGAAATCCGTTAGAACGGTCTGCCAACGAGCCAAGAAAGACACTTACAGGGCCCTCGGTGACCTGCATCGACGGAATTTCTGCCATCATCGAAAAAAGTTCGATTCGTGGTGGGACCAACCGCAGAATCTAAACCAGCATTGCTCCTTTTAGCTCCGAGGTCAATCAACTGATTTGACTGGACATTTGGCAAGTCCTTCGCATAATATGGGCTTCCATGCATAGGAAACTGAGGGGATACAAGTGCTTTCTCAAAGTCAACGAGTTGTTGAAAAATCCCAAGTTTGTCAGGACCCAGTATATCATCCCATAGCTTGCTAAGTTCCACCCCTTGGCTCTTCTCCATTATGATATACTCGGCTCCAATCTTTCGGTAGAGTGGTTCCAAGCGTACATCACCGGAATGGGAATATTGAGTACATTCCGAACCTAAGAATGGGGTTAGATCATATAGCTTAGCAACATGAAGCCAAGCAACCCTCACATAGTCCATCGTCACACCTCGCTAGCGGTGGTAAAGTATTGAGGTCCAGCATTAGAATTTGGGAGCTTTGCAATCACCTCCTTCCCATCGTTCATCGTAAGAAGCAAGACCTTGTTAAAGTTGCCCTCTGGGAGCTTCTGCACTTCGACGCAGGAGATAGATCCTGTCGCCTGTGTCGCGATCTTGACGGGTTTTGCCAGATTGAACTTCATATAGCGGCGAGAAAGCTGTTCTTTCTCAGTCCAAAGCCATCGTCCCGATGTGTAGCGATAAAGGCTATCCTTATCACAGTCTGTTGTGGAGATTCCTTGTATGGTAGGGGCATGCGACCGGGGCGGAACAGAAGTCGAATATGTGTGGGTCTGGAACGAGGCCCACCGTTGGAGCCTGGCTATAGCAAACGATGGAATGGATGATAAAAAGGGTTTAACTTCGTAAGGGTGTAAGTAAGACCTGGCTTAGGAGGTGCGTGCGTACATTTTGTCGAAGCGAAGTACCCACGCGTCGCGTTCAGAATGTGCATATCCTCATCTTCCATATCACATACATCACAGCGCAGCAGGACTTTGACTGTTTTCATTTCATCCCTTTCTTCAGCATCCCTTTTCCAACCTCGTTCGAATTTGGAACTGGATTATCAATCCCTCTTGGAATATCCGAACATCCCACATGTTAGATTTAGAAACGGTATAATATAGGCCGAAGGCATGTTTATTTACTGATGCCTGAGGTGTCGAGGATTAGAACACCATATTGGTTTTGTCTTCCTCTTTCTATGTTGTAATATCGACAGCAATAGCAATAGCAGATTTTGGTCTAGCGCACTGATACACACTGTGGACAAGGTAGTCTCTGCATCGTATGAGTACTTTGTACCTCAGTGGAGAGATGATGTCATTTTGGCGCTCTACTATTTTAGCGTATGTCTACGCTTATACCATGCACAAGATTTATGAGTGATGATCAGTGAAGATCCAATGCTTGAGCTCGAGGTCTGTGGTTTATGTCCGAAGATCTCCCGGCTAGCCGCACAAATATTGCTTATGCTTCATATGTAGAAGTACAAAGTACATACCTGTTTTCATGTCAATTTCACCCCATATTTCACCCCATACTTCTCCTCATACCCCTCGTATACCTCTCCGCAATATTCTTATATGCGTAGTTAAGAGTGTATATTGTACAATATAGGGCCAAAGGCGACATTCCCACGTGCAGGATTTCGTCAGCCAAGAACGCCCAGAAAGTGCCCAGAAAGTGCCCAGAGATATTCTTGGCTCTCTTGAATTCATGGCAACTAGAACAATCTTAGAAGATTCTACGCCATATACCCAAATCTGACATACAAATGGGCGCCAATAGAATATAATGCTCTGACGTCAAGTGTCTAGTGGGGAATGCCAAGAATGGAAGCGATAGCAGATCATAAAAGGCATTTCATTTTTTTCTTTTTGGACAGGTTCGTATAGAGCGTTAAGAAGACTATGAAGTGTTTAAATATCGAGATTATTACAACTATCTAAACTATTTGAATATACAGTAGCATATCTCTTTAAATTGTACAACTTTTATCATTTTATGTCACGAACTATCGCGTTGTGCGCCACGGCCGCCACCACACCCCTAATCTGAGTGCAATGTAGATCCACTATAAATCCACTATAAATCCGGTTTCAGCCCGTGGTGGTGTCCGAGGTAAGAAAAAAAGTCTGCGCATAGCTATTACTACTCCGTACATATAACATCTGGAGAAGGTCCACAAAAATAAAATTCTTCCTCTCACGCTCTTTGCTCCATCCCCCGCATACAAGGATGTCGCCCCAAGAGCAAGACGAAGGTCTAGCTGTTCACAGAGAGAGTAGACCGTCTCTCAATGGTATCGACAGTGAACCTAGCACCCCTGTCGATATCTCTGCCGAGCTTGAAAAAAAGATAGCGAAGAGAGCAAAGAGAGCGAACGCTCTGACGGAAAGCGTGAACTCAAGGAAGGAGATTGCTACGAGATCCTAGGATACTGCTGGCCACGATGGAAGAAATGGACCTATCTCTGCGCGGTCGCCTGCGTGCAGGTTTCTATGAACTTCAATACCTCGGTATACCCTGCTGCTGTCAAGAATCTTTCCGAGGCTTTCCACATTAGTGAGCAACATGCTCGTACAGGCCAAATGGCTTACCTGGTTACTTATTCTATTGGTTGTGAGCTATGGGCTCCATGGTCCGAGGAATTCGGTCGCTGGCCTATCCTCCAGCTCTCCATGTTCCTGATCAACATCTGGCAACTCCCTGCAGCCCTTGCCCCCAACTGGGGCAGTCTTGTTGTAGCTCGTGCATTGGTTAGTTTCTCCCGCAAGCTAGCACCTTGACAATTTCATAAACTAACATAAAATAGGGTGGTCTCTCTACTGCTGGTGGTAGTGTCACACTCGGTCTCATTGCTGATATCTACGAGCCCGAGACGCAACAATTCCCTCTCGCATTCATCGTTCTGTCATCTTGTCTCGGTACCAGTATTGGTGGTGTGATTGGAGGACCAATTGCGCGATGTAAGCCAACCACTCTTCTCATCCTATACCGGTTTAAGCATTTTCTAACACCTTTGATATTTAGTCCTTGACTGGCAGTGGTTCTTCTGGATTCAACTCATCTTCGGAGGTGTCACCCAGCTCATCATCTTCTTCATGCCCGAGAGTCGTGCGACTATTATCATGGACAAGGAGGCCAAGCGCCGCCGCACGACCGGAGAGGACCCGAACATCTACGGACCCAACGAGCTCAAGTCTCCCCGTATCTCCCTCAAGGAAGCCGGCAAGATTTGGGCGCGTCCATTCTACATGCTTCTGCGCGAGCCCATCGTCCTGTGCTTGTCTCTTCTGTCCGGTTTCTCCGATGCTCTGATCTTCACCTTCCTGGAGAGCTTCGCCATTGTCTACAAAGAAGGATGGGGCTTCGGCACTCTCGCACAAGCGTGGGCAGTTATTCCCATCAATGCTGCCTACTTCATTGCCTACTTCAGTTACTTCCCGTGGTTCCTTCGGGACCAAAAGCTCCGACTCAGACATGGCGATGCCGCCATCCCACCCGAGCGTCGTCTCAAGTGGCTGCTTTTCCTCGCCCCGCTCGAACCTATCGGTCTCTTCGGTTTCGCCTGGACATCTTTTGGTGACTCGAAGAACGTCCACTGGATCGGATCCATGATTTTCTCCGGCTGTGTCGGTATCGCCAACTTTGCCATTTACCTGTCTTCCGTTGATTACATGGTCGCTTCCTATGGCGTCTACTCCGCTTCTGCGACTGGTGGTAACGCCTTCGCGCGTGATCTGCTCGCTGGTATCTCGGCCATGTACGCCACGCCCATGTACACAAATATTGGAGACAAGTGGCATGTTGAGTATGCAACCACCATCCTGGCTTGTCTTTCCTGTCTGGTTGTGACTCCCATCTATGTGTTCTACTGGAAGGGACCTCAACTTCGCGCGAAGAGTAAGTTCGCCTCTACTCTTGCTGCCGACAGAGAGCAGAACCATGGCCGCCGTGTCAGCAAGATCAGCATCGAGCCTTGATCTGGTAACATGCAGATTCACTATTAGAAGCATGTGAAACCGTGTATATTTTCATGTTATGTATATATGACTCGTCATGTCTAGATCGAGGATTTTGATGCCCTTGGTACTGACCACGGCATGACTGCTATATAATCTTGGGATTGGACTTTGTTCCATATCTCATTGCAAGTTAGATGAGATAGACTAAAATCCAAAAATTTAAAACTTATTTCAATATTCATTATCGCTACAAAGTATATTGATTTCATGTTCATATGAGAGATATTGACATGTGACAGGTGCAATGATCAACAAACGTTGAGGCTACCTGCAGATCGGGTGGGGAGTATATGATGGATACAGCAAAGATGTGCACTATTCTACATCCACGCACTTCCTCCATATAACACCATCTTTTTTTGTATCCCCTTTCTCGTGCAGCCAACCTCCCTAACCACACCACCGACAAAAATGATCACAAGCACAATTGAAATAGCCGCGCCGCCTTCCAAAGTGCGCGAGATTGTATGTACCAGCCCTAGCCCCTAGTTCTTGGCGAAATAAGCTGACCAGCTATCCCTCCCCTAGCTACTCAATTTCTCAGCATACCCGGAATGGCATACGGAATGGCTCAAGGGTATCGAGCTCAAGGACACTACCAAGACCCCGCAACAACTTTCCTCGGGAGACAAAATCGAAGTTAACATCGAGAACTTCAAGTTCGTTGCTGAAGTCAAGGTGAGAATAACATAACGTCTTCCCCTAATACAAAATAAGAAAAGTAAGCTGAATACTATCAATGCTAAAGGAGAACACTGAGAGCTTGTTTTCTTGGCAAGGCCCGCCCGTGTTTACCATTGCTGGATTGCATAAATTCCATATCGAACTGGCCAATGATGGTGCTTCGACTGTTTTCACGCAGTCTGAGGATCTCAAGGGTCTCCTTGCGTTCATTATGAGTCCTTCCCTGCTTGGGAAGAAGATGCGTGCCCATTTCGATATCTTCCACAGGGACCTTAAGGCCCGCGCTGAACTGGCGTGATTTGGGGGCTGGATTTGTTGGACACGCACAACTTGCTGTTTTGTGCACGCACTTTTGGTTGTTACGGCCAATAGTCATGTTGATTAAAATTGGATTTCATATAAATTCCACGCTACTGCTGTATGGCGAAACCGATACCGAGAAGTCTGATAGTACCGATTGATCCGTGCAATTGAAGACAGTATCCCAATAGGATCGAAACAGATCTTCACTCTGCGGTTTCTCCAACCATAAGACGGCTTTGATGTGGACCAGCGTGTCACTAAAGTTGTCCAGTTGTAGCGAAGCAGCTACATCTTGTGCCCTATTCATGAACCACCGGTGATGAGCTGTGCCAGCTGAAGCTACCAATCCGACCGCAGTAAACCAGACATCCAGTGAATCATACACACAAGGTGTTGACGCGAGATGCTCGAGGTGCTCCATAAATCGAATGACAATCGTATTCAATATGACTGCATGCGAGTAATATGTTGGCCCCTGAGCGATGAACATGTAAAGTATTATTGCGCACCGGATGGATTCCGTCATCGGTGAGAGTGGAGGTATTGTTGTGCCTGGGGCGGAGAGTAGGAGTCGGTGTATGACAAAACAGGTAAGGTCGTGAAGTTGTGTGGCTGGGAAAGGTATATTGCACGCTCGCTGGAAGATGTTGCGTAAACGATTGAAAACATTGCTAACGGCATAGTCCACTTCGATGGTGCTGAGATCAAATAGCTGATCGTCATGCGTAATCGAGTCAAACTGCCATTCCGGGATGGGAGGGATGCCATCTCCAATCCCGAAGTCATTTTGAGTCTCAAATTGAGGATGACCCATGATGACCATCGATACCCTTTGGGATATGTGAGCATCGGCCCTCTGAGTCCTAAAGGGGTTTGACTTACCAACTGATCATTCTCGCGGTGAGCGGGCTTGTCTGCCTTACTGCATTGATGCCACCTCTCATATCGACCAGCTTTTTCAATCCCTTAACATGCATTTCGCCAACTTTTATATTCCCTTTGCCGAACTAAGAGTCATATATGATCAGCGGTTGGTTCAAATTATAAAATAGTAGGAAAAGAGGGTGCTTGTGGTAGTATCTCACCTCGATAGTTGCCAAGGTGATGACTGAGTTCATAGTCCCATCTTGAACAGCTAGTGACATATATTCAACCTTGCGTCGTAGTAACGCCACCGAGTCTGCCATGAGAATTTCGGAGGTCTGAAAGCCTTTCTGGGCCAACAACTCTTCGTCAAGACATGCTGTCTGCAGAGAGACATGAAATAGTGCAGGATCCCCTAGGGCAAGTGGCCACCAAGAGATCAAAAACGGATTTGAAGTCGCATTAAGATCAAGAGGATAGTATTGGAAGGCGATTTTGTGAAGGACTAAATGGGTAAGCCAAGGTTTCATCGGCAATGCTTCATTGAAGGGCTACATACAGCTGTAGATCAGACGTTGAACGTGTTCCCGAGGAAGTCTAGTCTGTGGATACGAATCAAAAGGATCAAGGGACCCGAATCTGTAGTTAGTTAAAGTGCCGGATCCACTTAGGGGGTTTGTTGATTCCCGATTCTGCCATCCGGGAGTTGCCGGCCCCGTCGAAGGTTCGTTCGCATAGGCGCACTCGACTTGACGCTTGATGCAGCGGGAACAGCGCGGTGTGCGGAGATCGCAGCTGGACTTTGATTTGGCACATGCCGCACAGGACCGGCGGAGAGATTGGCGCATTTTGAAAGAATATTGCTGGGCATCAAATGTGTTTCTAGGAATAGCTCAAGCTGGAACCCCACACCGCTTTTGAGATCACGATGTGAATCGAAGAGTTAAAACGTCGCAAACGTAAGTGAAAGAAGGTCGGCTTATTGAACCCGGGCAATTGTTCCGTTATATGTGGACCTCAGGATAATGCCCCGAGCCCAAATCAAAAGAGGACTAGTCCCCGCCTTACCCCTGCTTGGCATCGGAGTCTAGTCCTAATTGGGTAACATATATAATCCGAGCATATCTGGGCTGTATATCATGCCATTACTAACAAAACCTTTCCTATGTATCTTCTGCCTTTTTCAAAGCAGTTTTTCAACTTGCCCCTACCATCTACCATCATGGACACCAACATGGCGTTTGAGATGGCCAACATCTCTATCGCTCAGAATGAGCTGCCACAGATATGGCCTTCCAACTATCCCCAGTTTCAAAGCTACCTACTGGCCTCCTTGATGGGCTTCTCAATCTGGCAGTACGCAGTGACTTTTTTTATTGCCGTATTAGTCTATGATCAAGGTAAGCAGGGCCTTCAAGACCACAAGAATCCACTAATGCCATCTCTAGTGATGTATATCATACGAAAAGGCTCTATAGCAGGGCCTCCACTCAAGATTCCACTCATGGGGCCATTTATACAAGCCCTCCACCCGAAGTTTGAAGGGTATCTTGCACAGTGGGCAAGTGGACCTCTCAGCTGTGTATCTGTCTTCCACAAGTGAGTGCTCATATATATTGTCCTCACGTCTATTGTAGTCTGGTCGGACTCTACCAAACTCATCACACTGTTCAAACTGACGTGATTTACTAAAGATTCGTCGTTCTAGCCTCCGACAGAGACATAGCCCACAAAGTGTTCAAGTCGCCCACATACGCCGAGCCATGTATAGTACCGATCGCAAAGGATATCCTAGGTCACAAAGCATGGGTCTTCCTTCAGGGTAAACACCACACTGAATACCGCAGGGGATTGACTCCCCTATTCACCAACAAGGCCATGGCTACTTACCTACCGGTACAAGAGAAGGTGTTGGCCGATTATTTTGCCAAGTTTGTCGCTACCAGCAAGGCGAATCGGGGACAGCCAAAAGAATTCATGACCATGTTTCGCGAGATCAACTGTGCACTTTCATGTCGCACGTTTTTCGGTGATTATATCTCCCAAGCCGCGGTTAAGAAGATTGCAGACGACTTCTATCTTGCTACAGCTGCCCTCGAGTTAGTCAACGTGCCTCTGTCGATATACATTCCGTTCACCAAGCCTTGGCTCGGGAAGCGGACAGCTGACGCTGTCCATGTCGAATTTTCAAAATGTGCAGCTGCATGCAAAGCAAACATGGCGACTGGCGCAACACCAACGTGCATTGTAGACCATTGGGTACTCCACATGATGGAATCCAAGCGATACCACAAAAGAGTTGCGGCAGGGGAGATAGATGTTGAGAAGCCATCGAACATGATCCGCGAGTTTACGAATGAGGAAATCGGAGAGACATTATTCACATTCCTCTTTGCTTCTCAGGATGCGTCGAGCAGTGCCACAACTTGGCTATTCCAAATTCTCGCCCAGCGGCCCGACGTGCTCGATAAACTGCGCGCGGAAAATCTGGCTGCTCGCGGTGGTGATAAGAACAAGTCTTTCGATCTTCCCATGCTCGAGTCGCTCACCTACACCAATGCAGTGATCAAGGAGCTCCTACGCCATCGCCCACCAGTTATTATGGTCCCATATCTCGCGACGAAGAACTTCCCTGTTACACCAAACTACACCGTCCCCAAGGGCTCCATGATCATCCCATCCTGTTATCCAGCTTTACATGATCCGAATGTTTACCCTAATCCCGATCACTTCGATCCCGAGCGTTGGATCTCCGGGGACGCCGAGTCCAAGACTAAGAATTGGCTGGTATTCGGTGCGGGAGCACACGATTGCCTCGCAAGAAAATATGTACCGCTGTCTATGGCTGGTATGATTGGGAAAGCGGCGCTGGAACTTGACTGGAAGCATCATGCCACAGAGAGGTCAGAGGAGATTCGAGTTTTTGCTACATTATTTCCAATGGTTAGTTACAATGTTAACATCGTTCGCTCGTACCCTCTACTAATTTTTGACACAGGATGGGTGCCCATTGGTGTTTACGGAACGTTCATAGAGCCGTTTTTAGTACTCGGAATAGAGTTGAGTTCCTGCATGGACTCTTTCACAGTGAATGATATCCTCTATGGTGGCGGTTGTAGGACTTCCGACTTGTACGGTCGGGTTTATCACGTTGGTATATTTATCTCTCAGTGTGTAGTACAAATACATATCTCGCATGCTTTCAAAACGCGCAGAAGTTTCACAATCATCGGGTTGACTCGTCATGGCTTCCCTTCCTTCGAAATCATGCGATTGATCTTTTTAACAAGTTCCTGAGTTCCGTAAGGTTTATAGATGATGTCGTCCATTCCAGCACCCATCATTTCCTGTTGTTGTTCCTCTCTGACATTCGCTGTGACTCCCAGAATTGGTACATGTCCTCCGCTTTCCTTTTCAATATCACGGATTGCTTTCGTGGCACAGTTGCCATCCATCACAGGCATCTGCTGGTCCATGAGAATGCAGTCGAATGGGTCATTTTGATTCGCATCCACAGCTTCTTTCCCGTTGCTCGCTTCCGATATATCATACCCCAGTGTATTCAACTTGCGCGATATGATTCGCCTGTTGATAATGTTATCTTCAACCAAGAGAATACGCTGACCGTCGCCGGTTAGTTTCTCCTGATCGCGATGTGATGGATTCCGATCCGCCCGTTTGATCTCATCGCTCTTGACCTCGCGGGCTATACCGTGGGTGCGCATTGTGTGACTATCCTTCGGGGCATCTGGGTCTGCCTCAAAGACCCTATCTTCAGGGGGGTTTCCGGGATCTGGGGCTCTTCCGTCGATTGATCGACACCGCGCATTGTATTTCCCAGTGACTGGATATCAACACAGAGCTTATCGATTGCTGAAATGCTAGGGCTGTCATCCCTTTCGCCAGCGTCGTTGGTTGTTCTGCGGACTTTGAAAAAGAACCCGAAGGTACTTCCGTGAGATTCCTTCGAGCTCACGCCAATTTCACCCCCATGGAGGTGGCAGAGCTTCCTACACACGTTGAGTCCAAGACCAGAGCCACCGTAGATGCTCTCGGTCTTGGGAGTTGCTTGATTGAAACGCTCGAAGAGCCGTTTCTGGGCTTCCTCGGTGACCCCAATACCAGAGTCCTTGACGGCGACCATGATATATGCAATTTCGCCACGTCCCCATTCGGGGTTGTCAGTCGCGTCTTGGCGGAGCCCTGATACACCTGAATCGAAGAAGACAATATTTGGCGGGTACGAAGGTGGACGCTCGAGCGAAGCACCGACCGTGACTCGGATCGATCGTCGACTCTCCGATTCGGCGGTGAATTTGATAGCATTTGAGAGTATGTTGACGAGAACCTGGCCCATCCGATCTAAATCTGCCATGACCCAATCAATGCCGCATTCGGCATAGGAAACATCGGCCTTGTATTCAAACTGTATCCTCTGCTTTCGGAGCTCGGGTCGGAATATCGCCATCGGAATGGTGAGATGTCGCTGTGGTTGGACCCTTCGTGGCGACAGCGGCAGCATCGATGCGTCAAGCTTTGAAAAGGTGAGAACATCATTCACAATTTTCTTTTGATGCCTGACGCAGAGACTGATTGTCTCGGTCGCCTCGGTGATGTCCATGACCGAGATTTCCTCCGGCTTCTTGTTATAGATTGCTTCTTGAATATCCTCCGTGCAATGTACTATCGCAGATAGAGGATTGCGAATTTCGTGACTGATCATATCGATGAATCGCTCTTGTTGCTTCTTTCGTTCCTGTGCCTCTTCCGCAGCCTGCTTCTGTACGAGCTCTGCCCTTTTCTCCGGTGTGATATCTGCGATTGTACATATGAACACCCCGCCTTCGCCTAGCCCAAAGCATTGTACATCTTTATCATCCAACCGATCTAATGTCATGACACACCAAATCGAGTCCGGGTCGCGGGTGTGGTATTCGAGACGTAGCGGTTGTTTGGAGGTTGCGACCTCCCGATACCCAGCGGACACTCGGTCGTAGTCGTCTGGATGGACCGAGCTTAACCAGCAATCGGAGAAGTTGACGCTGGGGTATGGGACGAGTTCCCGGAAGCGGCGATTCACGGAGACTAGTTCATATCGGTGGGTGAGGATGGCGACGCCGTTCGGTAGGATGTCGGCCAGCTGCTGTGCTGAGACATTTTGTTTGAAAGTGAAGGGCATCTATTTCCTCGGACGCCGCGCTTCTTCCAAATCAATGGAGAAGACGCCAGACGCGGATAGAAAGTGTTTGATGACTTATGTGTTACCCGCAAGAGTTCGGGCGCGCATGGCAGATGAGGCTGAGCGGCGATCGTCAGTGTGTAAATTGCCCAACTTGACAGCCAATATATGTTAGCTTATATATCAAAAGTCAATGAAGACATTGGCAAAAGGATATGACGATATAAAATACTGTACGTCATTGTGGGTTACCCCCTTCGATCTACTTCCAATCTGAGGGGGAAGTATTCTCCAGAACATTGTGATTGGCAAAGACCCTGGAATGATGTCCACTGGGGTGGTGACCTTGGATGCTTGGCTTTTCGGACCTGACGTCATTCGGTTCATAAGTGTTCAACTTCACTTAACCGAGTTAGGGCCTCGGATATCAAAATGCTTTCACCAGCTCTATGGTAGTTCTTTTTCTCTCTCATTTGAGCTAATCCATAATGGCTTTCACTCTTCTGCTCGAAAGACTTGGGGTTGGAACGAAGTATGAATAGTTGCTAGAAGTAATACAGTATTGTAACAACCATAGCAACGGCCAAGGTATCTATTTGTGGCCTGGGAAAGATATATTCTTCTCTGACGGTAGTCCCTCTAATTAGCTGGACTGCAAGGCATCTCATGATTACTACAACATACGAAGCACCAACTTTCAGAACCGGACTGACGCCTTGTAGTTATGCAAAAGCATAGACAGTATAATATCGCAACCCGCTGATAGCGAATGATGTATAGAAAAAAAGGGTAAAATGTGCCTGCTTTTAAAGCATCTTGCAGTGGTGATATGTGTATCCTACGTACTGTAGTAAGTGTTATATGCCAAGCAGCAAGGACTGCAAATTTTATAACATGGTATTTTTGTGTCATGGAATTTAGTTTTGGCAGATGGTCATTACCAATCTCGTCAATGTGCTGTTGGTCAGAGCTTTTGCTTGACTGGCGATCAGCTTGGCAAAGCAGGGGAGAGCGTTCTTATTGCTCATGTTTGGCTTGGCAAAAGTGATCCGATGGTTAGAGGGGTGGTAGGGCATATGTCGTAATTTATCAATTTGATAAGTTTAGTAATAAGGGGAAATCTTTTATCAACAGCGTAATAAGATGAGTGGGGACTGGAAGCTGTTCCTTCATTGGAGATCTGTAAGGAGTACGAAGTGCGGAATACGCAAACTGCTAAATGGACAATTATTATGGGGATACTTGAAATGTTCGACGTAGCAGACCGGTCCCCCACTTGGGGAGAATTAGAGGTCTAGAAGATGGCCTGTGAGTGGTGAACGTGGGATGAGATGTTGGGGAGAGTAAAAAATCAGAATGTGGCGAATCAAATTTTGAACATAACGAATGTAGAAATATCTCATATCCTATAAAGCAAAGGTAGAACCACCACTGCGTTTTATATGGCTCCTTTATCCGAGCCCATATAGCTTTAATGAATACTAAGCCCTAGACATATCAACCTTTGAAATTCGTGCGAGTCCGGGATGCCGTGGGTCCTAGCGCTCGGCCCGATAACGTTTGCCGCTAATTTATTTTGAAGATTTCAAGTTGATAGCCAGTTTCAAGACGCAATTGATGCGTTGGCTCTACAGAATGTGCGCAATAGGGCCACGCATCACATGTATTGCGTTAGCAGAGCCACAGTTGAATCATAATAATCCTATACGATCTCGCATGTGCGAATGACAGGGCCAGTGATTCCTCCTCTCCACTCCTCGTGGGTTCCTCGTGGGTCTTCACCTCAAAGAGGTAACCCGAAAGAACATGCCCCAGTCCACGATCTTGCTCGAAAAGGTAATCCGAAAGGCTTCACTCCACTTTTTAAACTGGATCGATTGAAGAGTTTGATTTTTTCTTCTCTATAGTAAATCCTATATTAGTATGAGAGTAGGTGCCAGTGCTGCCCTGTCCATCAGTTTCCATCTTTATTCTATTGTCACAATCACAATGGGCATTTTTGACTATTTCAGTCCATCACGTAACCATCAGGCACATGGTGATGATGAAACACCTACTATGGAAACCCCAAAAGTAATCGAGCCTACTATTATCTCCAGTCCGGAGTCATCGGGCGCTGTTACACCTGCACACATGCTCCCTTCCCCGGCTGGCAGTGAGGATCCTCTTATCTTTGAGAAGATCCCCCATCAGTTTGGCCGCCTGGGTTCTTGGAAAGGGTCCTTGATTCTACTCGTCACCTCTGGCTCTCAGTTTCTCGATAATGTCTTCATGACAAGCGCCAACATTGCCCTGTCGTCAATTCAGCAGGATTTCGACGTGTCTAGTACTGATTTGCAGTGGATGATTTCTGCGTATACTTTGTCGTTCGGTGGCTTTCTATTGTTAGCCGGTGCTTTATCTGATCGGTATGACACTTCCTCTCATTGTCTCTACACTTGACACAGTGCTAACCTGCACAGCTACGGACGAAAGAAGATTCTCTGTCTGGGTCTTGCCTGGCTTTCTGTGTGGACCCTAGCGATTGGGTTTGGGCAGTCGTTTATTCAACTTACGGTGTTCCGTGGCATTCAAGGAATTGGAGCTGCAATGACTGTGCCATCTGCTATTGGAATCATCAGCTCCTACTTCAGTGGTGTTGATCGCACCCGTGCACTGTCAATCTATGGAGCCTCGGGAACCCTGGGATTCTGTACTGGTCTCATCTTTGGTGGTTTCTTGACCTCTTCGCTGGGCTGGAGATACATCTTCTATCTAATTGTCATCATCACTGGGTCCTTGGGGATTCTGGGCTTTATCGTCCTCCCAAGCGATGTTCCTTCTGAAAAGAAGCACGAAAGAATGGATTACATTGGTGCAGTGATGTCTACATCTGGCCTGATCCTGCTCCAATTCGTCCTGTCCAGTGGTGGAACATACGGCTGGGATCAGCCGTTTATTATTGTGCTGCTGATCTTGGCGGTTAGTCTTCTCGTTGGATTCGCAATTTTTGAGAAATACGTCAGCAACCCTATCATGCCACTTTCCCTGTGGAAGATTCGCAATTTCGCCGGTCTCTGGGTTATTGGTTTCAGTAAGTTGCCTGATTCCCGAAGTTGTGCCTCGGGCAATGCTAATTAAAATAGCTGGCTATGGCACCTACCAAAACGTTATCTACTATATCGTCCTTATGGCACAGGAAGTGGACAAGCTTTCTGCTGGCGATACAGCCCTTCGCTTCTTGCCTATGGGAGCGATTGGCTTCATTGTTTCTCTTGGAACAGGCAAACTTCTCGAATTCATGAATGGAAAGCACCTCCTCATTGCTGGACTGGTTCTGGCTGTGGTCGCCCCCATCTCGAGTGCTTTGACTTCCAATCCTGAAGCAGGCTTGTGTGTATCACCATTTCCTATCGAAAGCCCCCATACTAATTGTCACAGTTGGCTCAATGTTCTCCCCACATCCCTTATCAGTATCTCATCCGTGTCTTTCATATTCGTCACCACGAGCACTGTGGTACTCACAAGTGTACCGGTCGAAGTCAAGAGTCTTGCTGGCGGAATGGTAAGCTTTTCCTTTTCTCTCTTTCAACTTTTATATGCTAACATCCTCAACTAGCTCAACACTGCATTCCAAATTGGCTCTGGTGTTGCATTGGCTATCTCAGCGGCTGTTACCGATGCTGTCGACATCCAGCAAGGACACAGCCTCGCGGAGCAATACGCTACTGGCCTCTGGTGTTCTGTCGGTCTAGCCGGGCTTGGGCTGATCATCGGCCTGTTTGCGGTTAGGCACAAAGGCATCGGACCAAAAGATAGACTGGGTGCCGGCCCAGTTGCTATCTAATCCTGTGTTATGTATGACTTGTTTTCGGATTTTCTCTTATAGATCGATGATATATAGACCAGTTTTATTTTTTGTTTTCTCTGCGACTTTCATCTTTAAGCAAGCACATGTGATGTATTTAGCGTTGGTTATCATGACGGGGAAATAAGGTGGATTTAGAAACCGCGTTTGTTCACGATATCAACAGGATCGCACACTAGATAGCTCTCGGCAAGATTGCTTCCAAGGTTACTCTACCCCCGCTTTAGGTTGGAGGGTAGAAAGTACCGCACAAATTACCGTCACAATAGAAGCTATATATTATTGCAGTTCAATTTCGACCTTCCTTGCTAGCAGTAAGACCATCACCGCCATGGATGAAATCGTGGAGCAAACCAAACACGAGGAAACAGAGACCAGCACGACTAATGACCCTCTGAACACATCTCAATCTGCTATCAGCGACCGTAGGAAGGTCCTCATCATTGGTGCTAGTAAGCCTTCCTCATTTTCCCAACCTGCATTGCAATGTCGGACACCCTCGCTAATAATTAGCCCTAAATCGATATAACGCATTGCCATTGACTGGTTTGGATGCGCCCAGCAAGGCAGTGGGTGGCGGAGAGGGAGGCCCTGTTTGGCTTGACGACATGATGATTGTGTTCGACAAAAAACAATATTCCTGGGAATTTCCGTTCCTGGTCTGCAAGAAAGACTTGGTATTAAATATTAAAAAATCAGTAAGTCATTGGTGATTGAAAAACGGACAGTATCGGAACAGAAAGTCTTCATCGGGAAGTGACAGCGGTTGATGATGAAGTTCAAGATGTCTGGTTGGAAGGTGTCCTGACCTCGTAAGCTGCTGCATGTGATATCGATGGGTAGTCACAAGTGTGCTATTTCAGGCCTTATAGATCAGGCAACGAACACCCGTGGACCCACAACATCACGTGTATGCCAGATCCGCGTTTGGACGAACTCCGCGATGCGTCCATAGCAAGCTGTTCCCGGCACTCAAGGAATGTAAAGAAAAATATTTATCACAATGATTTTCCTATCACAGCTCGGGAGGGTTGACTTGGAGTTTAATCTTTCTAAGGTGGTATGAATGACTCGATTCTCATCAATCTTCATTATTGTTAACGCTGCTCATCATGATCGCCAAGAAAAGACTCCTTCAGATAGCCACGGCGGCTCTTACTGCTTATGTCCTCTGCACAGTGCTTGCCAAAAACCTCGGAGATAAACCATGGTCCCTCTCGTTTCCCGAACTCTCTCGGAAATACATGAGCGATAGTGCCTTTGAACATATCAAGAACCGCACTCTTGGGGTAAGACCCTGCCTACCATCTTATAGAATTGACTGCTGACTGGATATCAATCTATAGTTTCAGCATGTCTACGCCATCAGTATGAAAGAGCGGACCGACAAGCGTGATTTCCTCACACTAGCAGCCTCGGTATCGGGGTTCAATGTCGAATGGCTCGATGGAGTGCGACCCGATGATCTAGCTCCTAAGGCTATGCCTGATGTATGCTTTTCAGCTCAATAAACCCCAAGCTATTTTCTCATGCTTTAGTAGGGACTGGACCCCTCACTCGTGAAACCCACTGTTGTGGCATGTTGGCGTGCGCACATGAATGCATTGGTCAAGTACGGTCACCCCCTCATTCTCATTTTCTAGAGGCTATTCTGACGTATGGATTTGAAAAACAACAGTGTGATCAGCAATGACTATTCGACTGCTTTGATTTTGGAAGATGACGCAGACTGGGACGTGAGCCTGAAGTCCCAGCTGGGGGAATTTGCGCGCGGGCTACACACTTTGAAAGGAACGAAACACGTATCCAAGGAAGCTCCTTATGGAACAGATTGGGATCTCCTTTGGATCGGCGGATGTGCCTCGGGCCCAAACGCCAACGAAACAAGCTTCTACGCTATCCCGATGGACCCCACAGTTTCAAGGGTCCACCACCGAGCCACCTGGGGCGGACCCACCGAAAGTTGGAAGCAACAACATCCAGAATTGGCCGAAGATTCGACACGATTTATCTACCGAGCTGAAATGGGCTGCTGTATGTTTGGCTACGCAGTTACGACCAGGGGCGCTAGGAACATTCTTTCCGCGCTTTCTATCGATCGTTTGGATCAGGCGGTAGACAACGCCCTGAGTGACTTATGCGCGGGTGTCAAAGGGCGTCACAAGATTGAATGCTGGGCTCCATTTCCTAACTTGATTGGTACATATAGAAAGGCCGGTTCGGCTTCCCGGGATTCGGATATCGAGAAGAACGACGTGGGTGAATTCCACGAAGAGCAGGCCTGGAATATGGTATACAGTACCAGGCGTAATATACAGCAATTGGTTGCTAGTGAGGAAATTGTTTACTCGCAATGGAAGGATGAAGATGTACCATGGTCGAGTAAAGCAATTAATCACAGGGAGTTTGTTTATCCTGATGGATATCTTGTCAATTAAGCAAAACTCGGGTTTTCAGGTGCTAGTTAGTTTTATGAAATATTTATAGACCTCGAGGTCCTACCTTTGGTATTTTCTAGTACTAATTGCTAAATCTGGATGATGAGAGGGTTGGATCAAAGTGCATCTTGGCTCTTGGCTTCCAAAATTATTTCACATCTCCTTGCTCCCCAAAGGGATTGCAACAAAAGGGGGTTTCGATTTGTCAAAACAAATGAGAGGCTACGGTACCATGTAGATAAATTGTAACCCAATCACACAGTATCATTCCATAGGGAATTCCTGATCCCTTGGCATTTATATCCAGCCAAATCGGTGATTAAGTTTCGGGCTTATATGCTCTATTTTATAGCTTAGTCTACGCTAACTCCACATTGTAGTCCCTTAGGGTCGGCCCGAGCGGGCTAACATCGGATTATTGTTTTGAGGGATATTCTGTTTCTATCTTAGTTCTGTCAACTAGCTTAAGTCGACTAACAAGGGCTTCATGCGTGATCGGCAATAGCAATAGCTTTGCTTTTCGATTTTATTGCACCTCCAACATTAACCTACCCACGGTCACTCCATACAGTGTAACGCATCAAGCGTTTAGCGCGTTGAGTTCGAGATACCTAGACCCTCATGTGGGATTCCCCTTGCGTCGGCTCTTGGGTACCATTGACTCCAGACTCTGGGGTTTTCTTCAACAATTCAACCAAGCCCTTTACCAAATTCTCATTTCCCTCCGCTGTTACTCTCCCTTTCTGTGCATTCTTGAGCCCTGTCACAAGGGCATTTCCTGATCTGTCTTTCCCCTCCCCTCCAAATATTGTTGGCCTGGCCACTGGAAGTCCTTGGTTCTAGAGCGAGCCGAGAAGAATGAGTCCAATAGCCTTGCATGTCCTCTTCTGGGGCATGTGGCTCAACCATCCTACTTGGGTTCGGTGGCGATGAAAAGATAATGCACAAGAGAATGGAATGCCTAGAGCCTGATTCCAATGACCCGAACTAGCCGGGCTTGAACTGTCCTCGGTTCCTTTAAATCTCGGCGATTTCATCAAGTCGACAGCGGCTGATCAGTCTAATTTGCACAGAAAACTTCGTCGATCTGTTGATCAGTGTCGATCCCAGTCCCGCCGATCCATTATAGTCATACATATTACCCACTGATCCTCGCCCAGCCCTACACATGCCACGCTTCCTCGGCTTTCGGGGCAATAGCCTCAATATCGCCGCCATTTTTGGGGTGCTCATGCCTGGAATCCTCACAATTGGTTACAACGCATCACTACTCGGCGGTGTCTTGACACTAAAAAACTTCGAAGAACAATTCCCTGAAATCAACATTGCCGCTGCCGATGATAAACCACATGCGTCAATGGTCCAAGGCCTTGTTGTGGCCTCTTACACAATAGGAGGGTTCTTCGGAACTCTCTCCTGTATATGGCTAGGTGACATATTTGGCCGCCGACGCACAATAATGACAGGAGCAGTCATCCAAGTCCTTGGGGCTGTTCTGATGACTAGTGCAGGCTCTCTCGCTCAACTCATCACATCTCGGGTCATCCTCGGCGTAGGCACTGGTGTTCTACTAGCCACAATCCCTCTTTGGCAATCGGAGATCTCGCCTGCCGATAAGCGTGGTGCTCACGTCGGCATGAAGGGAATATTCAGTGGCTTTGGTTGTGCCCTTGCCCTGTTTCTCGATTTTGGAATGTCATTCACTCAAGGCAGCGTCGCCTGGAGATTTCCTTTCGCTTTTGTCATGCTGCTCTCCATCGCTGTTTTGGTGTTCATCTACGTGCTACCAGAATCCCCCCGGTGGCTTGTGCGACAAGGCCGACTTTCCGAGGCCAGTGAAGTCCTGGCAGCTCTCGGGGATACATGTGTCAATGATGAAGTCGTGGAAGCAAAAATCAAGGATGTCCAAACCTCACTGGACTTGTTTGAGGAAAAGTCACTGGGACAAATATTCCACATGGGCCCCCAAAGAACTTTCCACCGAGCTATGATTGCTGCCTTGGCAATGTTGTTCTTGCAACTCACTGGATCTACGGTCATCACCTTTTACAGTACGTATCGCGAATCATGTATCTCCTATTTACATATTTACTGACACATTCTGTGCGCTTTCAGCAACCGCAATATTCGAGAACAACCTTTCGCTCGGTAATTCAACATCCACAGTTCTGGCAGCAGTCTACCAGCTAGTCGGTCCCCTTGGTGGAGCCTTCTGTGTTCTCAAAGTCGACGGGCTTGGTCGTCGTGTATTGCTCCTAGGCAGTGCGATCGGAAATACCATCTGTCTGGCTTTGGTAGCTGGGCTTGGAACCCAAACCGATAACCCACTCGCAATGCGTGGTGCTGTTTTCTTCATTTTCCTATTTCATTTCAGCTACATCATCGGATTTGGCGCGATACCGTATCTCTACGCTACGGAGATTGCGCCTTTGCAACTACGCACGACTATCAACAGCTTCAGCATCAGCATCTCCTGGGCCGTCAGCATCATACTCACCAGTGTCACACCCATCGCATTCAACAGTATGGGACAGGCATACTTTGTCATTTTCGCCGGCTTCAATGCAATGATGATACCTGTCATCTATTACCTGTTTCCAGAGACTGCTGGGCGCAGTCTTGAGGAAATGGACAAGATATTTGCTCTCTCACGGGGTGTCTTAGATGCTGTTAAAGTTGCTCGGCTTCTTCAACACGGAAAAGCGATTGACCAGTCGCTTGAGAAGGAACTTGACCCAAACTTCAAGTGCCCTGAGCTTCAGCTTCGCGAGGTATATTCGTCTTGATGCTTTTTTGGATTTGTGGGGTTATACAATTGCAATGAATAGATAGTATGAACATTCCTTGAGCATAGATATATGATGTTAATCCAAGAAAATAATACCAGCATCTACGCCAAATAATCTTTAACCTCCCTGTACCGACCCAAGATGATCCCTTGTGGCCTAGTACACATATATCCACACGTGTACTTTCCGTGTACTTTCCATGTACTTTCAACTCACATCCAAAATTATTCGTTCTGACCTCCACATCTCTAGCTAGGGATCTCCTACGTAAAAGTCCGCCCGGGATTCAGTCATTATCGTCCAAATCCTCTCCTATCCAACCTATCCATCGTACAACTTCAAATCCCTCATTTACGAAACATGTCTTCAAAACCTAAGTCCAGGAAACAAGCCAACATTTGGAGCAACGCATCAAGTTGATAAATCTCGAGACTGCTATCGAGGCCCTTGATGTGCACAAACTCAGCGCGACACAACTCAGGGGATCGAAATCGAACGTCAACCTCTGCCATATGACTCTCGATCAAACCTCAGAGCTCAAACCCCGCTTCTTCGCGAGATCCAATCTTCCGCAACCCAGCGATGATATACTCGATGAAGCCTGTTCATCTGAGCACCCTGATTTTACAGACCTGTTCTCCCTTGCACACGCCACTCATATCTACTGGAACTCTTATGCCTTCCACAACGTAGATTTCCTCGATAGCGCGCCTTGGCGTTCTAAGGAGTAAGTCCGCTATTTGGAGCCATGTCACCCTGTCGGTTCATCGTATCTAATGCTAGTCGATACTCCTGGCGACTACAACCCTTACAAGGACCTGTATCAATATGACGCTCCCGTATTTGGCACTTTCACGACAACAGATATCGCCGGGAGCAAATTTCCACATTTCAAAGCAGTCATCTACAACGACTTGGAGGCGGACAATGAAACTTTTTTCCGTGGAGAGCTCTTGATCAGCCTTCGCCTGATGCTGGGCCAACTGAGAAAGAAGAAAGCACCGGTGATTCTCTATTATCTCTTTTCCCCATTCTATGATATCTTTGGGGTTGCTGACTGGGGTATCCTATATGTGTTACTCATCTCATTGGCGGGCAACCGTGCACGCTTATTGGAGTCCTATTTTGACGATCAATCTGAATCGCTTATAGTGCGCTCTTCTGGTCTTTACGAATTATCCGACTGGGTATCGACATCGAAGGCATTCAAGACCCTCGCCGAGTATTATCTCGGCGATCCAGCAGGGAATACGGCCTGAGCCGGGATGTTTTCTTTTCTTTGGGTCGGGCAAGGAGTGAGGTGGTTTTTCTGTTCCGGTGGGTTCTACACAGCTTCGCGCATTGTACTTTGATCTTTTGTGCTTTCAATTTATCGCACTGCTAGACCTATGACAACACAATAAATTGAATCAGATAAAGAAGTTGAGTTGGATTGAAGATTTGGAGTAGTGGAGGTTATCAGCGATAGCAAGCCAAAGGTGGGGGGTGCAATGGTTTTCGCTGATCGAGGGTTTGAAGGATGATCTATTCTGTGCTGTCAATAGTTTCAAGTTTCTGGATATCGAATCTCCAACTCACTTCAAATGCAGCAGAACCTTGATATATGGATAGATGGAAAGTAGAAGTGGGTTATTTGCTATAGAGAGGCAAACCAGTTATGTAGCTCTCTCCATAATACCTATAAATATGTACATAAATATATGCATTCAAAGTGTTTTCAATGTTACACACATGGGATAATTAGTTTCCCCGGATTATATAGTTGAGTTCTGAAAAGCCTGACAAACAAGGCGGATCTGCAGGCAAACAGTTTCTTCTCCAAGAGTGGGATAATCTTCATCCCTCTCTACTCCATGTCGCGTACCTAACTTCCTTTTTACCAAGTGATCATGTCTTTGTCCGAGTCATTTATTGGAAAACGAAGACGGAACAGAAACGCCTCAAGCAAGCCAAAGGCGAGCAAGGTACGATCCTGTGAGGCTTGTCGGCGCTTGAAAACGCGATGCGAAACAGGCAACTCTGACCGGTGTCATCGTTGTGGTGTTCTCCGGTAACAAGCCAGACTGTTAAATCGGGTTACTGGGATTTCATATCTGACCATATTTAGGATAAAGTGCTCTTTCCAGGTCATTTCCCGTAGTCAACCCGAACCGCTGCTGGGGACGGAGGTGGATTCTAGGACAAGCGGTGATGACTACCATACACGGTATATCCTCCCATGCTCGATTCTGTTAGGTTCGATTAATATAATAATAAGAAATAGGCTTTGTGCAGTGGAATCCACCTTGAGTCAACTTCAAGCATCATTATCTGTCCACAGTTCTAGCGACTGCCAGAATAAACCAGAGGTAAATTTCGGTTATCTACAGGATATATTGGCAATACGATTGATCCAGTACTCTAGGAGACTTCATCAATTATTGAACCAACTGCACGCGATGCACCCATGAATCTTATCCAAGAGATCCGACAGAACATCACTTTATATGAGCAACCCTCGACCGGCGATGATAGCACTGAAGATATTATAATCAACGGTATAGTTTCCGAGGAACTTGCTAACATGCTTCTCAAAGGGTGAGTACACTTCTAATAATGTTCTTTTGGGAGCTGTTTCGGGGTTAACGTTTCAGATTCTCAAAATTATCCAACCGCTGGTTATTTATGAGTACAGACCCGGTCCAACTACGCACCAAATCACCGCTCCTATTTGGTACTTGTATCTTGGCTGGTCTCCATATTACCCCCTCCTTGTACGGGTCATCAACACATCAAGCTTTGTATCGCCATATTCACGGACTGCTGGGTCAGGCACATCTTTCTTCCACTGCCTCGCTCGACACAATACAGTCTATGTTGATTTTCTCCATGTGGGACCTACGACCAACTTTGGGCCCTGATCATGGTACCTCGTGGCTTCTCAGTGGCACGGCGGCTATGCGGGTTATTATGACTACTCCGTTTGGGCAGCTTCCAAAGACAAGCGACGCCGATGAACGCGAACGAGCCCAAGCACAAGAAATCATGCGCACGTGGAATTTGATTTGCCTCTGTCAGCTACAGTGCGTTACAATAACAAATCTCCGATTCTACGTCAAGAAAATCTAATACCGATCTCAGGTTTTCTGTGGGTTCTGGTCGTCCACCGATCATATCTAGCCAGTACTTTGACGAATGCATCAAGGTCCTCGATTTTCCATCATTCAATGCGCGCGATGAATTGGTATTGGCTGGAGTCAGGTTATATCGACTCCTTTGGGAAATTCTAAGCTCAAACGTGATACAAAATGGAAGTGCTGTTTGGCCCAAAATCGACAACCTGCGCAAGTCCCAGGAAAACATTTATAGTGAGTGAGCAATTTCTCGTCGCATCATTTGGATAAAAACTAATTCCTATTTCTATCTCTATAGAGCTCGATTCCTCTCAGCCACTACGGTTTGCATACTCTTGCGCCTACCTGATTTTGGCACGTCGCACACTCCAACATATGGGCGAAACTCAACCCGAGGAAATGAGCAACTCCAGAAATACACCAGAGGAACCAAAACTCCCGTTACTTCGGTTCGCGATTACCCAGTCGCATCAACTCTTGAATTTATTTGTGTCCATGTCAGATTTGACAACTTATATCCACCCTGCTTACGAAAACGTGCTTTGTTCCTTTGCAATGGTGACACTGGCCGAGTTTGTGACCCATTTAGATGACGTGGGTAGTATAATTGTTCTCATGGAACAAGCCCTCTCGCATATTCAATGTGGAGGCAAAGCAGAGCCTGTGAGCCGGTGGTCCCTGAACATCATGAAGCAACATGTTGCGGATAGGATTGAGCAAGAAGATTGTGCGACTTCGATGGGAGAGAATAGCATGGGTATTTCTATGCCGCAGTCATTTCAGAATCCTACTGAGCCCTGGGTTTGTAATGAATGGGGTATCGATCAGGAGTTTCCATCCCTTGAAGATATGTTCTTTGGTAATGTGGTTTGAATTGAGTGATAAATGTTGACACGCTCCCCCCCATTGTGAATATAATCCATTCGCTCCTATCAGTTCCCCAAATATATATATTAAAAAATGCGGGAAATCAACTGCACTCTCTCAATCTGAGACCCGCCTGGCACTCCTTGGGCTTTTTCGAAAATCCTTCGTGTGATTCCATGATTGGCTGATACAAAACAAACTCATATCGATGAAACAAAGTTCCAATAATCAGCTGCAGCTCCATAATGGCGACATTCTGCCCGACACATGCCCGGGGGCCATATGAGAATGGGTTGAAAGCAATTTTCTGTCGAGCAGTCAGGTTTAACCAGCGGTCAGGCTTGAATTCTTCGACATCGTCTCCCCAAATATCCTTCATATGATGGATAGTATACGAGGGCACTGAAAGTACTGTTCCAGGGGGAAGTGGAAGCCATCAAAATCGACGCCCGGGCTATGATCGGCGACCAAACGTGGCAGACCAATTGCCGATGTAGAATGAAGTCTCATCGCTTCATCAATGCATCTTCGCAGGAATGGGAGATCTTTGACTTGAGAATAAGATGCGATTCTCGCTCCGGGCTCAATTTCCTGGTCTAGCTCCTCTTGTAGTCGAGGAATTATCATGCCCGGCGCACTGCGTTCTCCATGGAGGATCCAGTAAAAGATACCACAGGCCGTGTTGGATATTGTGTCAGAGCCAGCGATAAGCTGCGTCAGAGCCTCGGCTATAAGCTCATCCCGCTCCATTGGTCTTCCATTAGCATCTTTTGCTTGTAGCAAGCGCGAAAGGATATCATTGCGCGAGTCGACCATTCCCTTTTCCGCGGCATCCAGTCGTGACGAGACAGCGGCGACAGCAATCCCCGTCAGGTTTTCCACGGCCGCTACGCCCTTGGTGAAAAATGGATCGGGGAGGTACCGAGCCCATGGACAGAGTGCTGGGAGAAGGCCTAGTGTCGAAGAGACCTCGCCTCGTCTATTCAACACATCCACCGCCGGGGTATATGAAATCGGTCCTCCAGTCACTAGCTGCGTCTCAGTCTCGTCTTTTCCCTTGTTTACCATGCCAAATGGTGAACCAAATGCCAGATCTCCGATTATATCAAAAGCAAGATAGCTGAACCAGGGCATCGCGTTGTATCGCGCAAATCCCTTCTCATTTTGTTGTAGCCGGGAAGCCGCGATCCGGTCCAGTTGGCTTGTCCATCGCTGTAGGTTCTCCGCCATAAACGGCTCAAACGCAGCGACTGACCTGGGAGAGAAGGCATGGGATATAATCTTCCGCTTGCGTGTGTGTTCGGCGCGGTCGCGAACATTGAACATGCCCGGTGTTCGAGCCACAAATGCTTCATAATAGTGACTAGATATCTTCCGTTAACACAAGTAAATCTCAATCCGGGCAGGGAATATAACATACTCCTTGAGGAAGCCGTTTCCATGTCCATAAACAACATTCAATGCCCGTTCATCGGCGATAGATACATGGTTGAAACCAATACGGACGACTCTACCATGTTTTCGATGCGCCGCGTCGACTGCCGCATATTTCTGGCCATGTTTGGCACTTAAACCGACCCATATGTTGCTGAATTTGGCAACAAAAGGACCCGGGACTCGACTCAAGTGTCCATATGATACTAAATAGGGGTACATGTAGTAGAAAGCGAACCACACGGGGATAGCCACTGCCATGGCCCATGGCGAGAGCAGAAGAGATAGAATAGCCATTTGGTAAATCAATCAAAGTTGAATAAATTGAGGAACTAGATATCAATCCATTATCTTCCCCCTTCTTGAATGAATTCTGTTGCACTCAACATTTCACATGTGTATTGTCCGTCCGACGGAGTACAAGCAACACCGTCGGAGACGAGAGACCGATATGAAGGATCGACGTACAATGACCAAAGAATCTGCAGATGATTGACCCCGCAAGACTTTCACAAGGAAATGAACATAATTCGAGTGTGCTCCCTTGGTCAATTATTCCAAGATTGTTCTCGATTGTCGCCGGGAGTGGCCATAACGCGGTACTTTTGTTCACCGAAATGTCCGCTCTCACAGAGGTCTTTCTATCAAAATACTTCTATCCAAACAAGTTCTCCGTGGAGACGAAAATGCTTTCAAAAATGGTTCATGTTGGCTATATGCCGCTCAATCATGGCTTTCTGGGCCACTAGAAAAAGACCGAATGAGTGTTTCTGTACTGCATATTGACTGACTGCCTCACAGTTCTGTCCCAACGGCTTTTTTCGATCGGCGCTGATCTTTTGGCAACCTCCCTGGAATCTCTCGCTCGCAAAGCAATGTTAATCAATCTACACTGAGATCCCAAGCGTCTCTCAGGGATATCTGTGTTGCAGGCCGAAATCCGTAGGAGGCTATGAGCCACGATTATCGAAGTGACTGCGCAGTCATCTTTGAATTCGACCTTACCAGCCAGAAACCCCGAGTCTTATACTGAAGCCCCTTCAGATATCAGCGACTATGATATTGACGAAACTGACACAGTATTTCAGCCTCGTCTCAAAGGCCTTCAGATGTCCACGCCTAGTAACTTGACAGCACACTCGAGATTCGCCATCCACTATAGTCATATGCTCGTTCCTGACTAGGGGTATCGGTTCCTCCTTCGGGTGCCTAAAGGCTAGCCACAATAAGCCCATACGAATATATGTCCGTTTTCTCCCAATCCCGATTGCGACTTTGCCCTAAGACCTCGGGTGGACCATGGTGGGCATAGCGGTTGTCATTTTCGACATTTTGGGTGCCCAATTGGGGCCCATTCATCCTCAGCTTGAGTGCTGTTTGATCTCAAGTTGCCGGATCGCCTACGGGCGATGCCTTTCTTATTTTTCCCAATGATAACCAAATGTCAGTTAAATTTGATTCTATCATTCCTGTCATTGAGAGATTCCTGCTCTTCCAACAAAAATTGAACGAGCGAGATAAATGAGCAGCAGCTGTGCAGCTGCGATGCTCAGGTTGTTTCACCATCTCATATATTTCTAGCCTCAGGCCAGGAACACTACGCTATTCCTATTTGGGTCTAGCTTTTACACAAAAAAGCAGATCACGTAATCAAGCGGGGCCGCCCGCGACCCGTCCCTGACCCGCCCTACAGGGCTTCGTTCGTCTGTACTCCTTACGATGTACTCGATTCCTCCAATTATCGGAGTTGACATCATTGCCGAGATACCATCTCTGTAACACATCAAATACCATGTGTCTACTTATTCACTACGCCGAACCAGAAAGCAAATGGGTACGTCTCCCATCGCGCATTTCGAGATTTCTAGAAGACGTCTCCATAAACAGACAGACTGGGGACAAACAAACCCCAAATAAATGGGTATCATATTCGACGAAGATAGAACCCAATCTCATCCGAATGAAACATCCATGCCTCATAAACGATCTGGAAATCAAGACACGTTCTTCACGAACTAAATCCACACGAGACAATTACGTACAACCTTCGGAGGTTAGGAACTCGAAATTTTCATTAGCAGCCTTGGTAAAATAGGTGCTTATCCAGTATAAGCCTAGCGGATGTTATTGTCTCATTGTTCCTGCGGCTTGGCCCGACACGACCTACTTATTACCTGCAGATTAGAGTTGAACAAAATCTAGCGCCAGGAATCTTTGCGAATCAGTAGTCTCTCCTCGTGTCTCAATCAATATGATTGATACAAATCGTTTTGACGGACTCCACTGGGCTCCACATCTAATCAGGCAATGTACCCTTCATAAGGGTAGACCGTCATGTCGCTGAGGGGGGTTACTCCACTCTACAAGTCCGACCATCGGTCGATTTTGACTCTTTGATCTTATCTGATCCGCCTTTCTTCATTTTGATTTCCCTTCTTTTCCTCCATTTTTTATTAGGCTGAAGTTACATATATACCATTCTGGTAAACAATTCGCCAAATCATCGATAAACTACCCACGAAATCTCGACACAATGGCCAGCGAAGCTCTCCCCAAGGATCAGGACCTTTTCGACCCTGAGATACAAGGAATCTTGGAAGGAAATGCCCGGTTCCGCCGTTTAGGTTGGAAACGACTCACTGTCATCTCGATAGTCGAGGCGATCGCCCTGGGCAGTCTAGGGCTACCGTCTGCATTCGCCGCTCTCGGAATGGTCGCAGGCGTGATCCTCACTATTGGACTCGGGTTCGTTGCAATCTACGCGGGGTATAACATCGGCGAAGTCAAACTACGGTATCCACAAGTTGGTCATTATGCAGATGTTGGCCGACTTCTGCTAGGAAATGTGGGATCAAAGCTCTTCGTGGGCAGCTTTGTTGCTCTTCTTGTCTTTGTTATTGGGTCGCACTGCTTGACTGGCGCGATTGCGTTCCAGAATATCACTCAAAGCGGTTCCTGCTCGATTATCTTCAGCGTTGCATCTGCTGCAATCCTGATGTTGCTCGCTATTCCTCCGTCATTTGCTGAGATTGCGATACTGGGCTATATTGACTTCGCGTCGATTGTCTTGGCTATTGGAGTTACGATGATTGCGACTGGTATTCAAAGCTCGAATGGTTCGGGTGACTTTTCTGCAGATCACTCGCCGTGGTCTGCTTGGCCGAAGCCTGGTCTCACTTTCTCCGCGGCTATCGTAGCCACGAATAATATTGTCTTTGCATATTCCTTTGCTGGATGTCTGCCGTCATTCATGGAGGATATGCATACCCCTGAGGATTATGTCAAGACACTGTGGTGGCTAGGAGGTATCCAAGTTGTCATCTACACCCTGACAGGGTCAATCATCTATGCCTTTGTCGGGCAGGAGGTGCAATCCCCTGCTTTGCTGTCCGCGGGCCCTGTCATCTCAAGGGTTGTCTTTGGCATCGCCCTTCCAGTCATCTTCATTTCGGGTTCTATCAATACAACAGTTGTCTGTCGATATATCCACGGAAAGATATACCGGGACTCAGTCGTTCGCTTCGTCAACACCGCGAAGGGTTGGAGCACATGGCTTGGTCTTGTGTTTGTTGTTACCATCCTAGCTTGGATAATTGCTGAGGCTATCCCCATCTTTTCCGAATTGCTCTCTATCATTTCTTCCTTGTTTGTATCTGGTCTGTCTTTCTATATCCCGCCAATCATGTGGTATGTGCTCTTGAAGGAGGGCGCATGGTATGAAAAGCACAACCTGAAGCCTGCAATTTTGAATGGCATGGTATTCATAGTCGGCATGATAATTTTTGGATGTGGTACCTATGCTAGCATCGCTGAACTGGTAAGCCCTTTTTTCTTTCACCTTCTAGAAATATTGCTAACTCTCTGCTTATAGGTTGATAAATTTGAGTCGGGCTCAGTAAGTAAGCCATTTACCTGTGCTTGAAATATCGCAAAAATGTGATCATGTCTGTCATTCTATCTTCTCAATAACTACGATCTCTTAGAAACTCGGATCCCGAGGTCTGTAGTTCTGCTTATATAAAAATCCGACTCGCAAATAACTATGAATGTCGTTCACTTCAATATAACTCCAGCGATCTCTTTTTTCTTTTTCTTTTCCTTCTGTGATCTATCACATCCAGAAGGATGGAGACTACAGAATGCGGCTCTAACATAAGTCATTAGAAGCGGCCTGGTTCAGAAGCAATTAGAATCGGCAAAGAAGAACGCGACTTTTGAAACGTAGATCATCCCACATAGGAACATGTCTACATCTGTATAGTCCAAGACTTTTGGATACGTTTAAAGTTATATTGGGGTACATGCCCTTTTTAGGTGATTATATTTACAAAGGGGAGAATTACTTTGATGTTTTGCTTTTACGCGGCGTCAGAAAAAGATAACAGAATTAACATAACCTATGAAAACATAATAATAGTGAAGCCTGTCAGTGCTTATCTCGCCTACCTTTTTACCACTTTTCTTCATTGCTCCTTTCACATCTCCTCGTCCATCGGTGCTTCATCTCCACTCCATTTGTTCTGCTCGAAGAATGCTTGCAAGGCGGAATCATCACCCAAAATTGCCTGGTCGTTAAACATTGTAGGATCCAAATCGGCTAGGAAAGCCTCTTCATCGAACTCACCTGCGGGGGGATCTTGTCCGGCGGGAGCTAGGGAATTAGGGTCAATAGCAGGGCCAGGGGCAAAGGCAGGTTCGGGGGCAAAGGCAGGGCCAGGGGCAGTACCAGGAGCAAGGCCAACAGGGCCGCTGGCGGCACTTTGGGGAATCCTTTTTCTTCTTTGAGCTATTGGACCATCTCCCTCGACCTCATTTTCTGTTCTTCCTGTTTCCCATTCCGCTTCTCCCCTCTTTCGCTTGGTTTTGGCGTGTCTGTTGGCCGCATATCGGGCTACCTGTTCCATTCGGCGGTTAGGCCTGACCGTATTGCCACCCAATTGTTCAGTGGGACGAGCTATTGCTGGCTGATTAGGAGCTAGAGCACCTCCTGTAGAAGAAGAATGTTAGTATGGGGTCAATAATTGGACTTGGAAAGGAGAACTTACCTCTTGGAACACCGGTTCGAATAATAATAGTCAAACTAGGTCTAGGTAATGGTGAGCGCCTTGAACTTTCAAAGGGCTCAGGGGAGGGATTTCGAAGCTTAGGCCAATGTTCACGAATAGTTCGCAAAAGTGTAGATGCTAGGTTAAAGGAAGTTAGTCGTGCCTCGCCAGGCTGTGGGTTAGTAATCTTCGTAGTATCAATTTCCCCCAGAGGGTAAGGGCTTAACCAGACTGTGTCCCCATCAGCCCAATACCCTTCTTGGGTGAGGTTAGCTCTGAACAATTCAAATTCAATGTTGGCGATGTTGATCCAATCCCCGTCAGGGCATACATCCAGCGGGTTTCCTTTGTCTGTTAAAAAGTCACTCACCCTAATTGCAATTGGCATGTCCGGATAGTCTGCTCGGATGATCTGGACGTCACCGTTGGGCACGATGAAGGGCCGTTGATATTCGAATCTCTGGTCTTCTGGTTTTGCTGGTTTTGGTATTGTACTTCGTGCTGGCCCTGGTACTACCGGTGCTGGCGGTCGTCCTGGCCCTCGTCCTGTCTTCCCAGAGGCTTTTGCTGCTTGGTTTGCCTGATCTTTTGGGCTTGCTGCAAAGTCCTCTAGCAACTCATCGTGAATACAAGTGAGGTATTTATACAACGCCCCACTGAGAAGGTCGATGTTTGGAACGTGATTCCTAACAGCCGGTGGCACCCTCGGCATTCGCTTGCGCCACTCATATAGGATTTGAGTGCGTGAAGAACTCGATCGGAAAATGTGGCTAAGGATGATGCCTTTTTTGAAAGCCTGAGCTGCTACGACATTATAGACAGCTTGTGCTTCTTCGCGGACAACCTGTTGGTCCCGGGTGCTCTCTACTATGCCAAGGCGCTTGAACACGTAGTTTTGGTCGAAGGTGTGCGGCCAATTTTTGAGCGGCGGCGGCTGGTCAGTCATGTTAGCTGTAAGAAAAGAAAAGATATATTTGTATGTTTTGAATGCCTGAGAAAATCAAGGGTCATGGGGGGGATCTGTCCACCATTTAATACTCGAAGGGCTCTTGGTGATGAACTATTATGCATTGTGGTCTTTCTATTTCAATATGCGTTGTTAATATCTTAAAGAGACAAAGGAACAAAGGACCAGAACGGGTATACACTAAATTAGAACCAAAGAATAAACTGTATTGAGGTATCAAGGGTCAACACTATGCAAACAATGATATTAGGTCAACAATGAGACCTTTGGGCTGTCGCCAACTTTAGAATGCCTACGTGTGAGATATTGTGGCGGGCATTGTTTGCCATGCCATTGTGGCCATCGCCAACCCGCCACCTCATTCTAGGGATGGCGACATTTCTATCCAAACTCAATATTCTAGACTAAAACCTGGTGATTACGCAAGAATGAATTTTGAATAAAAAAAAAATCAGATGGCGTTGGTGGATATTTGGGTTAACTTAAAGAAAATATGAACAGAAGATAGATATGAACCTCCCAAGGCGACCAATCGCCAGCAGAACCCATAGAAGAAATGACAATTGCTCGCATGCCCTTCATCCTCTTATTTTCGTGATTCGTTTTTTAATTTGTTAAACAAGCACAGTCTTACGCAGAGACGTAAGCCTGGCCAGCCTGGTTGAGAGTGTTGCCGCTGAGCAAGTAGTTCTCGGCGCACATGAAGTAAGAGTAGCGAGTGACACCAGCCTGCGAATCCAACCAAGGAATAACCTCGTTGAGGAAAGCAGCCGTGTTGGCGGTGTCGAAAGAGCCGTTGACATCGGCGTTGAGAGCAAACTCGGTGATCCAGACCTCAGCCAGGTTGTGCTTGGCAGCAGTGTCGACGGCCTTGGTGACGAAGGACTTGAAGTTGTCGGCATCATCACCGTACCAGTGAACGGCCAGACCGGAGATACCACAGCTGCTGCAGCTACCGATGAAAGACTCGAACCAGTCAAGGCCGAATCCAGCATCAGTGGAGGAGGTAACGGCGGGGGAGATCAGCTTCGCCTTGCCGGACCACGGGGTGATGTAGGTGTTGTAGTAGTTGGCAGCATCCGTGGGGCTCATGTTGGCCTGCGAAGGCATGTCGGGCTCGTTGAATCCCAGGATGTAGCTACTGCCGCTGGACAAAGCGGTCTCGATGGCGGTAACCCAGCCGCCGAACATCTTGGGGCCCCAGAGCATAGGGACGAACTCGACGTTCGAGGGGAGCAGGCCAGAGATGGATCCAGCCCAGTTGTAGGCCCAGGAGATGCTACCACCACTGGTCAGAGCAGAGACGGTGGTGACATCGTTGTAGGCGGCACCACGCTTGCTAGAGGTGTCGCGCTTAGCCTGCATGGGGGCGGCGATAGCCGAAGTGGCGACTAGGCCAGCAGTGAAAAGCTTGGTAAAAGAGACCATTTTGAAGGATTGATAAGTCACAAAAAGAATAGACTTGTAAAAAAAAGGAGGGAAAAAGAGAGAAACCTGTTCTCGACCTTAATGAAAAGGAATGTAGACTTGAAGGAAAGTGAGGCTCAGACCGTGCACGGCACAGGACTAGAAGACCAGAAAATAAATGAAGGAAAGATAGGTGATGAAGAGAAGAAGAAGGGGGGAGGCGGAGGTTTTAAATCCCCCAGGCATCAGTGTGTCAAATCTACCAGCCTAACCCGCTGGCTGGGAAGGTATTCCATTTTTCTTCACGGGGTGGAGTGCAGATAGAAAGTGGTTATTGGATGTTCGGGGACAGAGGAAGTGGTTCTACATCATAACTATGCCTTTGACTAGATTAAACGATCTATGCAAAATCCCATTGGTGCTGGGGGAAGACCAGGGATGGATCTAAATGGACTGGGCCGTTGACAGAATTTGGAACCATGGTGATTGGCTTGAACCGAGCGTCTTTTCTTACATTTTTTTACATTTGGCAGAAGGAATTTACCCCCCCAAGGCGCTAATTAACCCTAATTCTTTCACTTCTTCGGCATCAAAATGGTTTACATCCGGTCCAACTCCACAGCCAAGATCTATAGACGAATCCACAATAGCCTGGACCATAATGGGGGGTTGTTACATCGAATTTGGTGATAGGGGAATAATATACTCCGTATACATACCTTGAAACTCTGTTCCTGGTGCCTGTAACTTTGTATATAACAATAATTGGCTTACCCCTGGCAGAATACGAGTGGTATGCAATGAGAAACAACGTGGGGATATTGGGAGCCCAATGACAGAAAATTGTCAGAAATTGAAGTGCAGTGGGGGGATAACGTACCACGGATAATATTGCATCATCCAATGGTTTATTATGCAGTACACCGCGCGGTTCCCTGGCTTCCGGTCAGGGGAGCGGCTATGATAGGTGTACCCTACGTACATCGTCATCTGGATTTTTGGGTGACCAATCATATGATTGTGTTATTGAACATAAACCTAGGAACACGATGAAAACACCAAACATCACACTACAACAATTTAAATTGCGTTCCAGATTTGATGAGGTTTTTCAAGACTCTTCATTTGAATAGATCAGATTCAAAAAGAATCCCATTCATCACAATCACAGGCGTCAACTGAAACTGAATATGACACACCCACTGAGGCGCCACCACATCAATGCAACTATGGATCGAATCGGCCACTCATAGTGACACCTCCGATCGACGCAATGTTTCATCTCCCAGCATAAGACCTAGACCGTCGCTCCCTTTCACCGGTATCCCGGTGTGCTTCCTTACTTCTGGATCAACTGGGGGCGTTGTTCTAGGGCTAGAAGGAAGAGGGGCCATCTGAAACCAACCCCCTCTTCAGCCCCCCCCACCCCTATGGCCGATCGGTTGCCGAAAAACGCCCAGGACAAGCCTTGCCGGACTACACGCCGGTGTTTTATTCCAGTACTCCGTACTTACATTGCGTTTGGATTGGGCGCCCCATTTGATTTTATTCCCCGGTTATTCTCCAGCAAAGGCCTATCCCAATCTGCTTTTTGTCGGTTTTAGTTGCTTTGTATCACCTCTTAGTGATTTGCTAGTCTGTCTCCCTTGGGATAATGACTGGTGATCAATGCCCTTATTCCTGGTTCTCCCATAGGCTATCAGGGCATACTCGCTACACAAGTACGGAGTATACCCGACAGGGTGTGGATGGCACAAGCTTTACATCTCGAAACAAATTCTGAATTTTTCAATCATCTCATCCCTGTGGTACTCACTCTACGGGTTTCTTTCATTTTTGAAATTCATTGTCCCCCGGACTAATAGTTGCCACTGGCGAGAATCGCAAGTATGAGATCAGACTTCAGTCACCCGCCTCTGCAGCCAAGATCCCGGGCATAATTCCGAGGCATATGCATGCCTGTATCTCTATTACAATGACCGAGACCGGGGTTCTTCTCATCTGAAACAGATTAAACCCCACCGATCTTCCCCGTCAACGTGGACCAAGACTCTAAATTTGCTGCCATTCAAGCCTATGCAGCATACTTCCTCGGACTATTAATTCCCGCACTATGATTATCATAATTTTCTCTGAAAAAGAAAATATCACAGGTTGTGGCCGCGTTGGCAATTAATGTGGCTTGCCTCAATAGACTCGCTTCTAGCCCTGGCTCCCACTTTCCCACTAGCGCTCTGCCCACGTCATCTTACTGCGCAACCCTGAGGTTGCTCACTTACTATGTTGTACACATCGAGAATCCCCGAAATGAATAGGAATAATCCGGGAGGTTCATCGCTCAATACTTACCAGTCTCGTTCTAGGTCTGCCATCGCTCTCTTTCTCAAAACATCGTCCCAAGATTCTTACCAGTTTCGGCTAGTCCCCAAACTCAACAATCCAGCAGCCTGGCTAACGAGAACCATTTTTAGATTGTGACGCGTCTTCTTGGCCACCAGGCACTCATTGTGCTGGGCATATACCGGAGACACTGGACGAGTCTATGACATGTTTGGGTAGCTATGGTAGCCGATACGAAGATGTCTTCAAATGGATATCATTCATTGGCTCAAGGAAGAACGAGATAATGCATACCTGCGGTTGATATAACAAGTCTGCCTCGTGTCCCTACGGGATATTCACTATCCCTATTCATTCGGTTTATGAGATGCAGAGCCGACGGAGGGATGCAAGTTACCTTGGTCTCATCATTGTTGGCGCCGGGCATGTCATTCTCGGTGTGATGCTAGTATCACTGCCAACACATCTCTGTTGATTTCGGACGATTATGCGAGAGGCCTCTTTTGCATTGGCAGTTTCCTTGTACAAAAATCTCCTCCCTGTGCATATCAGGCTCTTGGTTGTGACCGTTTCGACCTCTACGGCGGCATCCGCAGCCTTGCCTGAACCCCCCGTGGATGTCTAGGCACATTTCCTTATCCCAGCGTGCATGCTAGAGTGTCATCGACAGCATACACGGGACCTCTCAGTGCTTTACTAACTCCGGCCTATTATATTGATCTTGTTTAGGATCTGCTAAACAGGTACTCGAAAATGTAGGTAGATGGGAGCATTTACGGCATACGGGGATCTATACTGCGACTTCATCAACTACATACTTTACCAAAATGACGAAGGAATTCTGATATAAAAAGTCCAAGAGTAAAACCCCCGGGGCTACAGGAGGGCCATCAACCCAAGACCATCATCGGAAGATGAAGCGGTCGAGGTTGCTTTGGAGTAAAATGTGAGAAAGTCATTTGCAAATATACATTTCTTCGCAATGAAACCCCACACACTTTTTCATAAGGGAATAAATCTAAAATATTCTATAATTTCTACTTTTTAAAGTTACCAAGTTACTAAATGCTGCAGTCTTGATAGTTGTTGGTGATGGACTTGCGAATTGCACAAGTGTATTCTCAATCTAGCCAACTATCAGATGCATACAAATCAATCCAAGTATTTCACAAACTAAATCATCATATTTACACATGATCTATAGTCCACTTTTCATAAATAAAATACCCCATCGAGCAACTCATCTATACCTCCATCCAATCACAAGTACTGCCCATAATCACACCGAATAAAGCAGGCGGTGAACACCGATGATGTAAATTGCCCGCATCATCAGAACAGCTTCCCCAACCTTGGAATCTTCTACTATATCCTTCCACAACCCGCAATCCAATCATCCTCATACAATGCTTTCTCGCACAGCCCCTCGAGCTCTGCTCGCCTCCGTGCGTCCATCCATCCGCACAACAGCACCCACCACTTCAACTCTCCTCCCCCGGGCCTGCGCCATTCGCCCCAGCTCCGCCTCACAGTTCACCCGCTCATTCCAGTCCTCCCCGGTAATCCGCAAAGGCATTCACCCAGAATCAGCAGACCCCCCAGCTCCGAACCCACAGTCGGGTTCTGTTGCCGGAGCTGCTGCTCATGTCACTGAGCCCTCGCCGTTGACGCCGGAGGAGTACTACGAGTACTCGGAGCATTATTTCAATGTGCTGCAAAGCCACCTGGAGAAGGCACAGGAGGAGGGGTCAGATGTTGAGGCTGAGTACAGTGTATGTTTTTCAAACTTCTTTTCTTTATGTTATCCTTTGCCCAGTCTTCATCTTTCTTTTTCCTTTCTTTCTCGGCCTACAAAGACCTTCCTTATGTTGGTATGGCATAGAAAACATAGAATACTAACCCGCTACTTTTCTCCAGGCTGGTGTGCTGAACGTCTCCGTTCCCGCAATCGGCACCTATGTACTCAACAAGCAACCACCCAACAAGCAGATCTGGCTCAGCTCGCCCATCTCCGGGCCGAAGCGGTACGACTGGATTGTCGAGGGCGATTATATGCACGAGAAGCAGGATTCGCGGCCTTTCGCCAGTGGACAGTGGATCTACCTGCGTGATGGATCTAACCTGACCGAGTTGTTGAACACCGAATTGACCTTGCGTTTGCCCAAGGATATTTACAGTGAGATCGTTGAGTAAGTTTGAGTCATCTTGCTGGGCTATCGATTACCTAGAAGGAAGAGGATTCGTTCCAGTTTTTATTTGGGATGTTGTTACATACTGTAGTTTAGTGTCTATCTTATAATGCGGTTGCATTGAAATATTTCACATGCTTTTCCTTTCTCGTAAAGTTAAGGAGGTAAACGAATAACTTGGGAACATAGTTGTGGGTATCAATTGAGGTAAATGCACTAGCTGGGTATAGAGTGATTGTGTGTGGCGGGAACGCAATGCTAATGAGGGAAAAAGCCATCTTATCGCCCGAATTAAACGGGTGGGTCAAAGTGTGGTTCTTCTTTTTGAATGAAGATGCGATGTACATAGCCAAAATACAGTCTCAACCCGATGAAGCGGTGTCCTGCTTGGACAAGTGATATCGACCAAGGCAAAACTCACGCTAGAGACAAAGTCGACGGAGCCCGAGTCAACATTGAATATGTTGAGCGAGGTACAGCGGGTACCCGAGTACGAGTCACCGAGACCAGTAGCCCCGGGGGACATAGAGTCACTTGGCAAGATGCAGATAGACGATAATCGCAGCAGAGCATGGAACATGCTCGCGCGATACGGTGTTTGAAGTGAGGTCCGGTGGAACAAAGCCGCCCAGACTCGGTGAGGCGCATTGTGCAGTCCACGGCGGGCAGTCACATCTAGCAGCTGGCAGCTGGCAAAATATCCAATCCCTCGAACCACTTCGGCCAAGACAATGAAGATGGCTGCGAACCGACTTCCAGAAATCAGTAGCCTGGACCTTTCCTTCGGGCTGAGATTGACTCGATCCTTTCGAGGGTATTTTGCATAATCTCCATTGTCATGCTCAAGCCTGCGCATCAGCTTTAGGAAGATCGGCCTGTAGATACCCCGCAGGGCGTATAATTAGCTAACTGAACATATAAAGCGATATACTATCCAGTTTTATTATAGGGAAGCATACCACATCAAAGATAACCCGGATCATGAGACTGCAACTCGGACACACGGCGATCTCTTCGCCGTCGCGCAAATCGTCGATTGCGATCTCGAAGCGATCGCCACATGGGCAGGGATATGTGTAGATCTGGATATTCGGGTCGAAGGTCATGTCCTCGATCTCGATCTCATCGTAAATGTTCAGTCCTTCGTCGGCCATTTTTGATAATTCTCTGAATGTACAAAAGATATGTGGCGAATGAGTAGATGTAGCGTTGACTCTTAGGCAAAAAAAGTTTGGCGCGGTCATGTGATACGCGGGGTTAAGGCAGGGACATCCCCGGATTTAAGACTTGAACTATGAACGTTCATAACGAGATTATGTGCGTATATATTGGGTCTATTCTGGTTCTGATTTTTGAATTCAAAAGCCTCATACGACACACGCCAGTCCGGTCATTATCTTCAAATAATCATACGCTGTGTCAATGCGACCTCGGGGTTCTTGAGGTCAGCCATTTGGTGTGTCCTCGATAGCTGCTGTAGAAATTAGACTTGTGTAATTGGGCTTGGAGACTGTAAGGAAGAAGTGAGGCTGGGGCGTATTGCGCTCTCCCACATGACCGCCAAGGGGGTGTCTATGCCCAGGTGGCTGCCAGGGTCTACTACTGCATGTGTTGAAGCTGTATCTTGATTTAACTATATCCTACCCGGGGTATATAGTTGTATCTCATTTCTCTAATCGTGCAATTTCCATCTTTACTTCTTCAACCTCTCTCGCCAAAATCCCATACCGACGAGCAATATCCTCGAAACTCCCTTCATCGACAGCAATATCAGTGGCCGGATCTGACATCTCCACATCGCCATAAGCTCTCAGCTCCTGAACCGTCATCTTCCGACGGTGTTGCAAGCGCTCCTTTGTCTGCCTTAAATGCTGCCTATACCGAGCAAGAGCAGCAAGTGTTTCTGGCGTATAGAGCGTGGCCGCAATCTCCAATTTCGTAACCCTGTCCAATCGTTAAAGACCAATTCCACCAAAATAGAACAGCAAGACTTGAAAACCGGAAAGAAAAAAAACATACTCTAATGTCCCCTCCACGCCCTGCGCAACAACAGCCAAATGTTCCGCCTTAGCTTTCGTCGCGCGCGCCAAAGCCCCATGCTTCGCCCGCTCCAGAATCACGACAGTGCGCTCCAGGACTCGCGCCCGCACGGCAACAACATCAGCCGCCGTGGCAGCCATCTTCCGCCGAGCGACTGGCAACTCGGACAGCTGTGTGTGGCGCAGCGCGCGCGCCCGCGCCTGTAGCTGCGATGACAGCGGTGGGACTGGTGCCATCGAGGTCCGGACTCGGCGGTCGCGAGCTCGAGCGCGTGCGTTGTGGTTCGAGTGCTGTGAGGGCGCGTCTGCGTTGGGCGTGGTGGCTGGGTCTGTGTTTGCGGTTGATAGAGCGCGTAGCTCTTGAATGGCGGATGAGATGGATTTGGAGAAGGGTAGAATGAAGGTTGGGATATTGGTGTAGAAGGCTTCGATGTCGGGTGCTAGGAGGGAGAGTGCTTCGTCTGATTTCTTGGGGTCGGTTTCTGGCTTTGGGTTGGTGGGTTCGATTGCGCTGGATGGGGTCTCGAGGTAGAGGGTCATTATAGCGAGGTTATCATGGCACTGGAGGTAGTAGATTCGTCAGTGATGTGGCTTTCCTCTTGATGGGTTGGTGGCCATGGCAGGTGTTGTACGAACCTCCGCGGGTAGGCTGCTGTCTGGGGCGAAGGCCAATTGCCGGAGCATTTGCTCCTTGATTCGCTTTTTGGCATTTTGAGTCTGACATTGCTTCAGCTCCTAGTGATAGACTGTCAGAGCTCTGTTCGTGCCTGGGTCCGTTTGGTATGTGTTGCGCAATAGCGACTACTCACTTCCACCACAGCTGTGCGGGCTAGGCTCGCGCTTTGAGCACGCGTTGATGCATCTGGATTGAGGAGGGAGGTAGTTATATTCTCATATAGTCGTTTGAATTGAGGGTTGTGCTCAAGAATTGAGGGGTCACAGGGAGGAATCATGTTGATGTTACAAAGAAACTGGGGAAGTTCACCGCCGAAAGACCCAAGACGCACGGCCAAGACATAGGGAAACAGATGCAATACAATACTTCGTACATTCAAACTACATTTGTAGCACCTAATGGAACTTAGATATTTTACTATTACAAGTACATATTCATTTTGCATTTCCGCGTTTCTTTCGTAATCATACAAGTTGAAGCTAAAGCTTCGGTTCACCTCTTCCATCCGCAACGTCGTCGGAGAAAATAGAGCAACCTCATCCACCTATCCTGGCTGTGAAACGAAACGGGAAAAAGTGTACACTCAGGCATAGGGGAAGGGAAATTCAAAGGGTCAAGTAAATGAAATCCTGTTCGGCCAATCTTGAGCATAAGGTTCGTCGGTGGCAGCAGAAACCTTGCCGGGTGCAGGGGTATTCGAAATCAAAGTATGTACAGACGTTGCCGGCGGGGATTGCATAGCGCATTGCAAACCCGCCAGGATCCAGCGGTGTGACTGTAAAAGAAAGATATGGCGAGAAATTGTTCGGAAAAGGCACTGGGGAAAAACGACGCTTGGAACGCAAGTCAGGGTGAAGAGCCATCCCGTATGGAAAAAAATGGCGGGATTGAATCAGAAGAGTATTTTCTTTACTCCTCCTCGCTCTCCTCCTCGGACGAATCAGACTCATCATCGCTGCTTTCGTTGTGCTCAACCGAGGCCACTGGGTCGGGGGAGTGAGGACCACCCTGGAAACGCGAAAGGTTGCTCTGCAGCATGTTGATCTGCGCTTCCTGCTCAAATTTGCTCATTGGCTTGTTCTTCTTGGGTTTGGGAGGTGCCACACTGCTGGCAGGGAGATCATCTTCGTCTTCATCATCCATGAGATTCGGGACGTGCTTCTTCACGAAGTTAAGCAGCTTCAGCAAGACATCGTTAGGGAGCTCGTCGATATCCAACTCAATTTCAGCTTCATCGGTACCCTGTGAAATCTATATTAGAATCGGTTCGTGTATAATGATAATGTGTAAAAATCTTACCTTGAGTTGAGGAACATTGTTCTGGATAATCTGAAGGGCTTGCTGCATCCTCTTATCGGGAAGACTACTGATACCATTCGAGATGATCTGTTTCTCGTTGTAGGTGATGGCGCGGGTCTTGCCAGGTAGAGAACTCTTGCTCTTCTTGTCTCTCTTTCCAGAGCTGATTTTCTTAGAATCCTTCTTAGCAAGCTTGGTCTTGCCAACCTTCTTGGAGGAAGGAGGAGTCTTCTTTTTCTTGTTGGTAATAGCCTCGACTTGACGAGACATCTCAGCAATTTGCTTTTGAAGCAACGTGAGTTTCTCGTCGTCTTCTTCGCTCTCTTCTGCATCCTCGTCACTATCTTCATCAGAAGAATCAGTGTTCTGCTCGGGGTGTGGTTCATGCGCTTCGAGGTAGTCCGACTTCTGGGCCCACTTTGCGTTGAAGATTTCTTCAGCTCGCTGACCACAGATGAATGTAGGGTCACCAGGGATATTGAAGCGGTAGCAATTCTTAAAAATGAGGCGGACGTCGTTCTCGAACTCTTTGGCGTTTTCATACTGGCCGGCCTTGAGTTTGGTTTGAACGGTCGACAGATCCATCGGCTTCTTGACAACGCTGTGGTATGTGGGGATATTCAAAGCAACGGGATCCACGGGGTAATAGAAAGGCATCACCCAGCTGTAGTGCTTTTGTTTGTGCAGCTCATCCAAGACTTCCTGGCAGAATCGCAATTCCCATTGGAACTTCTTCTTCTTTGGCTTGCTAGAATACGGGAGGTCACGCTTCGGGGGATGAATGGATCGTTTGGGGCGACCATCGGGGTTGGAAGAATCGCGGCGGATGACGGGCAGACCTTCGGGCCCTAACGCAAATGTTTGAGACTGGGGAGAGGCAGCTTTAGGCTGACTTGGGAGAGAAGTCCGGTGCTCCCGGCGAGCAGCAGACGTCTTCTCTGTCTGTTTCTTTGGTTTTCTCTCCTCAACCTCTTCGGGCTTGGGAAGGTTAGTCATTTGCTTCTCAAAGGTCGCCTTCAGCTTGATCCCCTCTTGGGTGACGAGGTGGTCTGGGCCATTAAAGATGGTGGTATTATTGACCATCAGTGCAAAGTCATCTGCGACTGCCTGGGGGGAAGAATATTGGTTGTTCCTGAGCTTTCTTTCCATGGTTCCCAGGTCCATGGGGTGGGTGACGATAGTGTGGTATTGCGGAATGTTCAACTTGACAGCATCCACGGGTTCCTTGTAGAAACGCGCATCGTGCATGCGCTTGAGGCTTGTAAGGCTCTTCGAAATGAACTTGTGTTGCATTTTGGTGAGCCCTGGTCCACCACTAGTGCGGTTTGGACCAGGTGTTGCAGCAGCCGGAGTGTTGAATCCCGGTGTCTGAAAGTTAATAACCGAGTCATCGCCCTCGACCTTGGTACGCTTGGGAGCTGGTTCTTCGCTGAGATCAGCATCCCGTTGGCGGGAAATCTTGGAAGGAGATAGCGGGGCCTCAGATGCGTCCTTCATCTCTTGGTCGACGGGCTGCGGCGCAGTGGGAGCAAGTGGTACGGAGGCCGGGGTAGGATGATGAGGCAGGTCAGTTTTCACGGCAGTCGAAACATCTTGCTTGGTATCGATGGCCATTGGCTCAGGTGTATCGTTGGGGCCATCTGCGGATGCAGGAACTGTGGGAGGGGGTGCCACAGCCTGGGTGGACGAAGCGGCACTTTCAGCCGCAGCGTTAGCTGCAGCAGGAGCGGTAGATTCCTGGACCTGCGAAGTGCTGTTCTTTTCTTCGGTCGGCTGTCTCTCCACGGGTGGAGCAGATCCGGCAGGTGATGGCTTGTTCTGGATCATTTCTGAGGGGGGCTGATTATCGGGGGACTTGGGCGGTGAGGTCGCAACGATTGTGCCATTGGTGTTCGAAGACGCGACAGGGGTGTGGCCATTCAGCGTAGGCGATTTAACCTCGACATCCGCGGGGCCATCACTTTTAAGACTCACTGCGACATTTTGCGCGCTGCGCACCAGTCAGAACAAGAACAGAGCAGATATTGAAGCTGATGTACTTACCTGTCAGGTGGGTAGTCAGGCGCAGAAGGGCCAGTAGGCGACGGAGGCAATTGAGGCTTGTCCTCCTTCGTGACAGGAGGAACCTCGGGAGGCGGAGTCGCCATTGGGGTCGCGTTGGATAAGCAAGAATACAAGATAGGGGAAGGATGAGAGTGTTGAAGATGTGAGAGTTATGGGGAGGTGTTTTGAAAGCTAGTGATCAACTGAAAACACCCGTGGGGCTCTCGCCGCGAAACAATCTCGAGTGAACAAACACTAGCGGCAACCGAGGGCACGTAGTGTGGACTCAACAGTTGATGAGGCTTGATATCAAACGTGTCGCGAAGAAAACGCGGGCGCGGAGGCGGGAGTGAGGTCAGAGATGATCGGGAGATAGGAAGAGTGGAGAATGCGATCGGAGACGAGGTATTTATACTGCCAAGGCGGTATAGAAGCTCTCACGTGATTTAGAATTGAAGCCAGGTCTAGATGACTTGGGTAAGATGTAGAGCTAAAAAGTTCCCGTAGATGCCTGAGGCAGCAAGGGAATTATGAAAATAAAAATAAAAAAATAAAAAAATAAAAAAGAAGAAGGGGGAAGGCGGTTAAAAGGGGAAGAAAAAAACCGTGACGCGACGCGTTTGTTATGGGTTCTTCTTATAAGGCGGTCAGTCGAATAAAAATAGGGAGAAACCAGGACGGAAGCAGAAAAATGGTCGGGAGGGGATGCCAGAATCCTTAAGTACAAACGGCCGCCTTGCACTCTCCTGTTACCCAGTTCCACCAGCCACACTAGTCCCAATTCTGTTAACCTTCTTACCCCTTGATTGGTTATATACCCCTGGAATCTTTTTTCTTCTTCTCTTTTCTTTTCTTAACTTTTCTCTTTTCAAGCTGAACACCTTATTCTGAATTGAAAGTTACTTTTCCATCTTTCTAATTTCACTCATTTCTTCTCAACTTTACCTATTAGAGGTGTTGTAAAATTCTGTGGACGCATCTTTCGGATGACTCAAAGCCCTAGGGTTCTGGCTGAATCCGGGTTAGGCCGTGATGGGGTCTGAGTCACGTCACCACTCGAACTTTCACGTGACTACATCATGATGAGTACACGTATTGTACATTGATAAGAACACCACCTTTCAATGCTCTATGTATACAACGCAAGGAATATGTTATAAAATTTTGAAACGTCTATAGATCATAGAATAGGCTAGTCTACGGTTCCCCGCTAATCCTGGAAATTTCCAATCGGCACTTGCATTTACTGCCAATGGACAGCTGCACCTCGATCCTTACAGGTTAGGCAAATATGCGTATGTCACATGATCTGGGAGTTGGGGGTACATACTTTTGGCCTTGAGGATCTACCCAATGGGAGTCCGTGTGCTTTGGAGTTTACGATATATGATTTTTAGTGCTGCACAGTTTAGATGGCTCGGTTCTTACCTATAAACGCTGTAACAGAGCTTTGATATTGCTACTGTCTTGTTTCTCATATATATTGAATTTAGACACAATAAACTTGAAATTCTTTATATTATTGTCTTGACTTCCCAAATAAACATTTGGGATATCTGCAGGAAATATAACTGAAATGGCCTACAAATGTTGTTATATATTTTCGCTCGGAGGGATGTTGACACCGAAAAAGCCCAAAAATGGAAAATGAAGTGTGACAGAAAAACCGTACAGTTAAAAAAAAAAAGAGCCCCAACGGACCTCAGGACACAAACAGAACCGAAAATTCGACCAAAAATATATCAAAGAGCGGCAGACTTACTCCAGGGGACTACTCAAATGATATTGAAGCATCCCGAGGTCACGGGATGATATGATTAGATAAGAACATCCAACAGTCTAAACCCTTTTAGGACTAGACCGTCAAGGCTCTACAGAACATTTTTTTTCCTGTCCGGATCAACTGCGAAACCACCAGCCTAAACCCCCATTTGTTTCCTTAGGGGCGGAAAAAAATAGAGTCTTATCGGAATCTTTGCTGTTTTTATTTTGGCCTGCTCTATTGATATTTATCTTCACGCCACCGCATACTCGACTGTGAGAAAAAAAAAACGACTAGAAAAAAAAGTTACAGCCAAGATGGGAAAGAAGACCACTCGCCCATCCACCAAGGTCGCCTCGGCCGCCGCATCGCCGGCATCAGGCATGACATATGCGGGCAGCAAGTCGTCCATTCTGCGCGCTGCATTCTCCCCGTCAGAGTACCAATTGGCCCTGTTTGCGTCCGTTATCCAAGGCCTCGATGGTCAGCACATTCGCATTCACGACACACAGACAGGACGCCTCCAGTGTGAACATGCTCTGGGGCCAAAGGAAACAGTGACTTCTTTGGACTGGGGATACTACGGTGGCTCCGGCAAGGGTCGTGACCAGTCGAAAAAGAAGCGCAAGCGCGGCTCCGATGTCAATGGGATTGATGGCCTGGACCAGGGCGATATCGTGGTTGCATTCGGCACAAACACATCCGATATCCGCATGTACTCGCCATCCGAAGATAAGGTCGTCGGCACCTTGACTGGTGCGCATGACAAGGGTATCAAGGACTTCAAGTTCACGGCCGATCGGCCCGCTCAGGAGGCCTGGAGTATCGGTGGTGACAATAAGCTTGTCCAGTGGGACCTGCGCACCGGACAAAGCACCAAGTAAGTTTGCATATTTGCTGGGTTACACCGAGCTCCTGACTAATGATATACCTCTAGGACAATCCACCTCCCCGCATCCTCTGTCTTCACTGCTCTCTCCCGTCCCGTGCCCTCGAACCCTCCTCTTATCTGCGCTTCCCAGACCCCGTACTTAATAGACACCGAGAAGGCCGACGAGCCGGTTCAGTTCCCTGCCATGCGCAACCCTATCCACACCGTCATTTCGTCCTCTTCCGAGTCTGCTGGTGTGGGTGCATTCCTTGCATCCGATGGTGACCGCTTCGTCAACGTCTTCGATGCCACCACCCAGAAGCTTGTTCGCAACCTTGTCGCCGACCAGGAGGTCTCATCTATTACACTGCAAACCGATGGCGTGGCCGCCCCGGAGAAGCAAGTGCTTGCTGCAGTCACCGCAGATGGTAGCATCGAACTCTTCACAAAGCCATTTGTTCAGCCCCAAAGTGCGCCCTCCGCAAGTGCCAAGGCCAGCCGGAAACAGATGACCCAGAAGGCAAACGCAACCCTCAAAATCACTAACACCGAGTCCTCGAACACCTGCGTTCCCGTCGCAGCCATCTCATTCCAGGGCCCTACCCTCATGGTTGCATACACCGAGGGTGGTGTGATCCCTGTCTTTGAGCGTGTCAAGTTCCTCGACGAGAACACCGATGAGCTCTCATTCACCGGAATCAAGACTGTGGTGAAGACCAAGTCCGGCTCCGCACTTTCTTCCGTCACAACGAATGGAGTTAAGAGCGCAGGCGAGACCCGTGTTGACGAGTCTCGCATGAATGTCGAGCAGGGAAACCTGGTCGATGATGATGTAGAGATGGAAGATTCACGACAAGACGCGTCCGACTCCGGCAGCGAGGAGGACTCTGATGATGAGGACAACAAGAAGCCCAAGGTTTCCAACGAGAAGAAGACAAAGCCCACCAAGCAAGTCGCAGCGACCGAGGACGTTGAGATGCAGAACGCATCCGAATCCGAGGAGGAAGAGGAAGAAGAAGAGGGTGCCGAGCCATCATTCGGAGAACTCCTGCGCGCAAACGCAGGCCAGGAAGTCGATGTTGAGGCCGAACTTGACGACGACGTCCTCCTGGGCGCACTGGTTCCCGGCAAGCCCCAGGCCGCAGTGCAACAGATTCCCACCGGTGTTTCTCTTGCTACTGTCCTTACACAGTCCCTCAAGACCAACGACAACGGCATGCTCGAGTCTTGTTTCCACACCGGTGATACTTCTATCATCCGCACTACCATCCAGCGTCTCGACTCCTCGCTGGCCGCAACTCTGCTTCAAAAACTCGCTGAGCGCCTCGCCTCCCGGCCTGGTCGCTACGGCCACCTTCTCGTTTGGGTGCAGTGGACCTGCGTCGCCCACGGTGGTGCATTGGCTGGCCATCCTGATCTCTTGAAGCGCATGACTTCCCTCTACAAGGTCATGGACCAGCGCTCTGCTACCCTGCCATCCCTCCTGCTCCTCAAGGGCAAGCTTGATATGCTCGATGCCCAATTGGGACTGCGGCAATCAATCCGCGGTGGTGATGAGGGTATGGACAGCGAGGACGAAGATAATGTTATCTATGTCGAGGGTCAGGATGATGTCGAGGACAGTGAGACCGAGGCCAAGACGCCGCGGAAGTCAATACGCGACCAGGCGTACGATGAGGATGAGTCAATGATGAACGTCGATGAGTCTGAAGACGACGAGCATGATGGAAGTGATGATGAGGATGATGACGAAGAGCCCCTTTTGGATATCGAGGCTGCCGAGTCTGTCGGTTCTTCTGATGCCGAGGAATCGCTGGAGGAGAACGAAGATGAGGACGACGATGAAGACAGTGATGGCTCGATGGTTGACTTCATTGCCGACACGGAAGACGATGAGTCTGACGATGCTGCTCAGGTGCAGCCCCCGCCATCAAAGAAGAGCAAGTCTTCTGCTTCTGTCAGCAAGAAGAGCAAGGTCGGCAGAAAATAAGCGTGTCTCTTTTTTGAAGTTGTACGAATTAGAGATGGGAGAAGGGGGTTACGGTCTATAAAAGAACATATTTTTTTATCCTTTGATGCATCCGACGGGTCTGCATTTCATTTTTTCTTTGTTTTATCTTTTGCTTTCGATATCTTGTGCCTCTACCGAGCGCCTCTTGCGTCTCTATCAATGTCTATTGAATTCTACCTTGGTATCTTGATATCTCTCTTCCTTGTACAGAGTACTTTATACTTCAGTAGCTATGACCATGCAGATATGCCAATCTCCTTGCTATTTATACCAGCAACTCCTCCCCCTGACATGGACCCTCATGCAGGACCCGATGACCCGGCACCCCTTTCTCCCCTAGGGGTATCAGCACGGATGTCGTCCGGTCCCGCGAGGGGTAGGTAGTGAAGTGACCCAATGCACTGACATCAGCAGTATCGAGGGCCAGTATGACTCCATTCTTGCCACCTTCAATCCAGGCCTCGGTGGTCGAGTTAGGGAGCGTGATATGCGCTAAGCCGGAGAGGAAGACCACCCATCTATAAGTGTGGAATTAGCCAAGAATGTGGAAACCCACTCCCGAGTATAAAAACAAAACAAAACATGTAGAAAGAAAACAAATCATCCCGGATCATTTGAGATACAAAAGACATGTATATCGAAGAAACCTCGGAAAGGAGAATATAACTCACTGCAAAGCAGGCGCGTTATGTCTACCCCCATCAAACCCAGCCGGCAACACCGTAAACGACGCATTCCCACCGATAGTCCCCAAATCCAGCTCAGCGCTCCCGGCCTGGCCAGGTTGCACAGAAGTTTCAAATCCCGGCTGGAGAGCCCAGCACTCTAGGATGGAGCGATTGTGGCGGGCGCCGAGGACGGTTATGTTAAGGGTGGATCCGAGGGAGGGAACGGGGGCTTGCGCGAGGATTGTGGATGGAAGGATTAATTGGATGAGGGTTTGAGGGCGCATTTTGAGGATATTATGTAGGAAAGATATAATAAGGAGGAGACCTAAGAGCTGGAGCTGAGATCCGTTCTGGGTAGCTGAAGAGAGGTGGAGTAGGATCTTCCCCTGTAAGTCTATAAAAGGGCACTAATGCGGATATCAATGTATTGCATATTAATTAGCACTACATATGTATTTGGAATGTGAGATTTCACTGATTTGCCGAAGAGCACGAATTACATCTGCTATATGTGCTACATATGTACCGGATAATACCTGGCACCCGAGTCCTTTCCCCTTCCATTTTAGTGCTCACCTCTTGCCGCTTTTTGATATCAGAAGTAAAATTGAGCACGCCTCTGAACACTTTGACCCCGGGGCTTCCAAGCTGGAGGTTCCTTGGAAGTTCTCATATCATTACATAAGCCGACGAAGCATCATGTGACTCTCACATGAGCAATCTGATTCGCCCCCATTATCCAATCAAAAAAGAACTGCCCAGGTGGCATTGTCAACTCGGCCCTTCGTTCTAACAATTCTCCTACTAGAGATATTTTGCTAAGGGTCAGCCGCTCGGCTCGGGGTCTGTTCGTACTAATCTATATAGTCAATTTATCTATTAGGAAGGCGGACAAAGATTCGAGTATCCACTCTTAGATTCTTAGTAAAACGCCTATTTTATACTCTAGCAATCCTTACAAACCTGGTATTACAGTAAAACCGGCTTATACTACTACTATATAGTAGTAACGAACCCGTATATAACGAATACCTGGTTTTTACGATCGGGAACCGGTGCTTTCAATTAATTCACCATATATAGTAGTAATAACGAATTTCCCTGCTTACTACGAAGTTCGTTATTTCACTCTTTCCCCTGGAATTTTGCCAAAGAGCAGTATATGAAGCTGGCACGCTGAGACCATCAAGAGCCAGCAATTGATATTGATTGGTATGAGATGAGGCTGGCACAGGCCAGGAACAACACCACGTGAAAAGTCTCACAGAGCTACGGAGGAAGGCAGTGTATAAAAAGCTGCTGGTCGACAGGTCTATAGGTCTATCTAACTAAAGGGGGGAACAGGAGGGGGGGAGATTACGGCCCACGAGCGAAGACAGGAAAGGCTGAAGTGACAGACTCTCCTTTGCACAATTCTCATGGGAAGGTAATTTAAATGCTTAGATTCTATAGTTGATGCCCAATGTTGAGTTGCAAAGCACTCTCTAGTTTTCACCCACTCGGCGGTATTTCGAGAAATAACGTCTATATAATGATATTTCAATTGCACATAAACTTGAGCACACTCGAAGCATATGACACGTTTGTGATTCAACCGTTATATCAAGCTAAAACATTACGCATGTCGCATAAAAGGGGCATTGCGAAGCACTTCGACCTGGGTTTTCCAGATAGGTTCCGCTATTCTGAGAAACTGAGGGCCAAAATTGTCTGTCATGTTTTGCACGAAGACATCATCCGACTCATACCGACTTGATCGGCTCAATGGAACTTCCTGGAAGTGTTCGAAAGTCAGTTATCTCCAAAGACTTTTCCAATAATCCATGGATTCTCTGGCAGTATGGTGTTCCAGATTGATACTTCTTACGACCAGATAAGATGATGAGTTGATAGCACGTGCCTTGAGATATTTCTAAAGTTGAATATCGGAGAACTTGTCGAAAGCGCGAATGATGTATACCGTGTCCCAAGACTTGATGCGGTGACATAACACCCTAATAAACGGAGGATTAGTGCTCAAGATGCCGTTAAACAAAGTTTCAAGCTGAGTACGGCGCTCATAACCTAAGAGAGGGTGACAACTGAATAGGTAGGCACTCTGGAAAATCTCTGAATTGGATGTGGAGAGAAAGGAGCTATCTACAAGATGAGACTTGATAACCTAGGAGCAAACATCGGAGGTCGCTTGACCTCTGACACACATGTATATCTTGAATCTGCTTTTTCACTCGACTAATTCAAGGACATACCTACTAGTAGGTAGGTATGTATCCAAGCTTCGATGGTGAAGCCAATCACATATTAGCGTTTATTCGGAGTATTACCGGAGATGGGTTTCTTAGTCCCCATGATATTGCCCGCTATAAGACGAAGATACGATATGTTGGGGATAAGTTATGAATGGATCAATGCACTTTGCAAGAGATATAGTTTGGAATCTCTCTATGTCTGGTCTGGTATTCGCCATAGAGGCCTGAGGCCTACTACATCATATGTACCTAGGTATCAAAAGAAGGCTTTCACTTGGGTTGGACTGTAGAAAACAAGAACACAAGAATTCAATTCCTCAGAACATAAAAAAGATAAACCTACCTAGCCAAGTTCTCTCTTTGCAGCACTTGACTAATAAAAATATACATGCTTAATGATAGTGAGAGTACCCAGTACCCAGACCCAAGAAGAAAAAGCATACTAACGAATGACTTCACCACCAGCCTTCTCAATACCTTCGAGCCCTTCGAGAATATCGCTTCCGCCGAAGAGTCCATAAGCAGAGCTAGTGCTTGTCCTTCTTCCCGTCCAGACCTCATGGAACTTCACAGTTTGATCACTAGACGCGACAATAATGCATCCCTCCTCCTTTGTTCGCGTGCACCACATTCCACCTTCTTTCTCCTTGGGGGTAAACATCCGAGCACCGACCTTGCGGCTACGGGTTGGGGCTCCTTGCTCCGGAGACCGAGTCTGACTAGACGACGACGAAGGCGAAGATGACTGACTGTCCGGCCTATCAGACTGTACACCCGAGAAATGAGAGACTTTCCCTGGATATCGCACTGCCCACAATGCTCTTCCGCAGTCGAAGTTGTTGATTCGAGTCTCGGGGCCATCCCAGGTGGCTCCATGGGGCCCCCAGGGAATGACGGCCACCTGTGCGCAGCTGGGCCAAGCAAAAACGGCGATTCGAAATGGGTGATCTGGCTGTGCATAGCCGAAAGTAGCGGCGATCTCACGTCGAGTTTCGCTCCATATAAGACTGGTCACCTGCGCGAAGACATTGATGGTTGCAAGACAGGCTCCGCTCCGGGTGTGATAGAAGTGTATAGATCTGTCATTGGTACCTCCTCCCGTGGCGAGCAGGGATGACTGCCATGGCGCAAATGCAATTGCTTTGACCGCAGCGGAGTGCGCCAAACGATGCTTCTGACGGTCGTATGGGACCAGAATCGTTCGTCCACCACCGGAAATTAGAGTGCCTGCATGTTTTAAAAGTGCGGCTGCGGCCGGAGGCTTAGTCGGAGCAGCAAGCCATGATGGAAGAGCAGGTCGCCTAAGAAATAGTCGTCTTGTGGCGGTGCCAAGAGCAAGGTAAGGAAATACACCGAGGCTGAAACTGCTAGGGGAATCCGGGGGCGTAATGGATCCGACCGTATAATTCGAATGCCGCGACGGAACAATCTGGGCTATTTCAAACAGAAGGCAAACGTTATCATTACCACCCGTGGCAAGGTATTTCTCATCGGGTGACCAAGCCAGTCCACATATTTGTTGAGTGTGTGCACAGATCTTGGCAAGAAGCGTCATGGACCCGTTCCATTTCCACTTAGCTTGGTCTTCTTTGTCAGACCACTCAACCGAATAATACCAGACATTTCCAAATTCATCACCGACAACCAGCTCTTCCGCGTTGACTTCCACATGCATGAACCGTTCTGAAGGTCGACGTGATGTTCTCGGCTTGAATACCACGCATGTAAGGGTACTGGGATGACTGATCTCAAACCGGGCTTGCTTCTCGAATGTGCTCCATAGAGACAACTGACCGGATCGACGAGCCACTGCAAGAATGCTTCGCTCGCCATCCTCAGAAGAAAACGACAGGGAAGTTACATAATTTGAGGAGTGCAAATCTGGAAAGGGAGGATAATCCACACCATGGCCCTCAGACCAGAGATATACTTGATGGCCCAAGCCCACGGCCAGTATGCCAGATGTTGTTGAGTATGCAAGAGTACTGCAGTAAAAATCGTCCCGGAGGAAGGGAGCATCAAGGATTCGAAAAGGCTTCGGTGGAACAACCTCTTTCCTGCCAGCAGATCTGGGCCCTGAGAGCAATCCGAGTCAGTTGATGCCCAAGAAGATTGTGCATACGGCCAGTCTCACAATTTCCAAAAGTTTGATTGAAATATCATATATGGTTTATCTGTAAATGGTAAATTTATTCCAAAGATAGGGCTGGGGGTGACTGTTGCAAACTACAGTTGCACTTACATCGCTCTTTTTCAACTTTTTTCCAAGCACTGTCCTTCCATACAAATGGGGAGAGGCGCTCGAAGTCTGGGGATGTTGGATTGAGGGGAGCATCCAGATAGCGTAGACAAGTACCTAGCTGTCTAGTCGTCGGGTCAATTCCCAAAGCAAGCGCAAGCCTCGACTCGTGAATTTCTTGTTCACTGTGCTTGGGTTTCTTGGGTAAGAACCGAGCCACGAAAATCGGGGCAGTTGATGATCCATTCGTTGAAGTGATCGGCGTGTCATCAGGAGCCGCAATAACGGAATCACCGAGGACTGCAGAAGCCCCACCCACATTCCAGACTGCACCGGAACTAACCTGTCTCAAAGTTTCATGTGCAACATTATTGCCTGTGATGTTGGGTTCGGTGACTAGACGAGGCCGTTGATGTGGGATCTGTTGGAGTCGAGTTGGCTGCTGGCGTCCACTAGCAGCATAAGTCCTACGCAGGGTAGGGGGTAGAAATGGGTCATCCCCGGGAGGAAGTCGTCGAAATTGTCTCTCTTGAGGTGAAAGACGCTGCGGATGCTTGGCCACACGAAATGTTGTTGATGTTGGTTCCACGAAGTCTCGCTTTGGAATGAATCTATCAGGCGAGAGTGGACCTCGAAAGGTGTCTCTTGCTACTGCTGCATTTCCAGTATTTCTCACTCTGCTGCGACCTCTTTTGGGTGATGAGACCCGATTCTCTTTGAAATGAGGGATGGGTGTTAGAACAGGTTGGGTCTTGTGCTTCGGCAATGATTGAGAAGTAGGTGTTTCAAAGAATGGCAAATTAATGGTTGCAAATTCAGTCAATTGGACAGGTCCACTGTCCTTGGAAGACTCGGATCGAGAGTGTTTGTGACTGCCTGGAGAGGTTTCCTCGAAGGAGTGACGTTGCATATCTACCATTTTTCTGGATGTAGGTGGATAAGCTTTATATGAGTAATGGCCTAGAACTAATAAAGGGAATGTATAAGGAGGCCTCTCGTTCAAGGCATAGCGGCAGGACGAGAAAGGTGAAACAAAGACAAGTCTGCAAAGTACATATGTAGAAAGAGTGATCACGTGAAGCTATACAAACCTTTAAAGGAAGGAATACCGGAGGTTACGTAAGTTACCCCACCGCCTCATGCACCAATGAGATATTTCTAGTTGGCATCTGATCAACACGAAGCAACCTAACACATTTGGCTTCTTATTGTCAAACAGTGAAAATGCCCAGTGTGAGATTAAACTCCCCATGGCTGTACCGCTCCGGGCTGATAATTGTGATAGCATGGCGTGCCACGGTACAAACCAGTTGAGAAGTCCGCCGAGGCACGACAGCAAGAGCTGCAGAAGATAGAAAATTACAAGGATCTCGAGCGTTCGGTATCCAAAAAGGTTGGTCATCCTATAGATCTGACCTATAAACAGAATCTGACATAAGGCAGGTGGCTGAGCATGAGTACACAATCGAGACCTTGAAGAAGATCTCGGAGCTGCTGTCTAGCAACCCAGAATACTACACAGCCTGGAATTACCGCCGGCAGGTAGTGCAATATCAATTCTCCCAAGCAGGAGGTTCGGATGATGAGACTGCCGATTCGATCACACAGTTAATCATAAATGATTTACATTTCCTCATCCCCCTTCTCCGGAGCTTCCCAAAGTGCTACTGGATCTGGAACTATCGTTTATGGCTATTGGATGAGGCTCGCCGTCTACTATCCCTTCCCGAGGCCCGGCAAATCTGGCAGCAAGAACTTGCCCTTGTGGGTAAGATGTTGACTCTTGATAGCCGGAATTTCCACGGGTGGGGTTATCGCCGCTTCGTGGTCGAGACCTTGAAGGAGCTTGGCACTGCTGAAGAAGCAACAAGCATGACCCAGAAAGAATTTGAATATGCGACCAAGATGATTGGCGCCAATCTTTCCAACTTCTCCGCGTGGCATTACCGCACAAAGCTTATCCAGTCGCTTTTGGATGAGCAATCTGCCAGCGATGACGACCGGAGAAGAATGTTGGATGATGGTTGGTTTAACCTGTCTTGCCAAGTCTACCTTATGCTAATTTGGGTTTTTCTTAGAACTATCTCTTATTCATCAAGCATTTATTGATCCTTATGATCAGTCACTTTGGTTCTATCACCAAAATTTGATGAGTGTGTTTGACCCGTCGATGGCCGAACGAACTATGGCTCCCAATTTGAGCTCGTCCGACCGACTGGAGTACATTAGAAATGAGATCGAAGAGATCCAGGAGATGCTCGATGGGGCCGAAGACTGCAAATACATCTATCAGGCATTAATTGAGTGCACCCTTCTCGCATCCAAGGTGGAAGGCAGCTTGCCTTCCAAGGATCGGGACCAGATTCTGAGCTGGCTCTCAGAATTGAAGAAGTTGGATCCATTGCGACGCGAACGATGGCTTGATTTTGAGAAGACCTTGTGAAAATAACTAGTTACATACCTATGTATAGACGTATTATTTGTTTATTGACCCCTTTTATGTAGTGTCACACCTTGAATTCCTTAGAAACACCAAAATGCCATTAAGACATTCTTATAATAGCATATTAAGCACAATTATAATAGAGATAAGAATAATGATTCCAGGCTGGTCATATATACATGTCGAATATGCCATTTGCATTTCCATCTCTAACTTGTTCCGCCCTGAGGCGCCAATCAGCGGCGAGTGTACCTTGGCCATCGAATCAATCATTTGAAACTCGCCAAATTCCTTTTCCTTTCTCATTCCATATTTCTTTTCCCTTTTCGCGAATTCCACTCCCTTGGGATTTCTGGCCTTTAGCTCTTTTGAGTCTCTGCTTTTTTGCGATCCTATGGAGTGTTCCATCTTCTGATTGTTGTGAGGTCATCTAACAGCTATGGACATGTCTACGCCTACGAAACACAGTCCTGAGTACGAAGTGGTAAGTTGGTTAGACCTAGATCCTTCCAAAATCACAACTTGCCTTGACACGAGCTTATCGTTATCTGAATAGGAGTCATTTGACGACGCCCTTGAAACGGCCCCAATCCAGGAGAACAACAACCTCAACGTCACAATCCCCAAGTCCACTTCCACCCGATCATTGACCGACAGTCCTCCAATTGGCTCACATATGTCTCCGGAATCAACGGAGAAACCTCCGTTCCCTTCTGAATCGCAGGACGAGAAGAAGACCGAGACTCCCGAGGAGCAGGACAAGGATGGCGAGGGGCTGGATGGACAGAATGACAAGATAATTGAGGACAGTAACAAGGGGAAGAATAAGGACGAAGGAGCGGATACGAACGATGGGACTCACTATGACACCAACGACGAGGTGAACACCGCGACCGATGAGCCCACCCAGGGAGAGAAGCCGGGGCAAGGACCTGAGGTTACGCAGACAGAGGTAGATAAGAACGAAGGCGATCACGATCAGAGCCCACAGCAGAAGTCGCCTCTACTCACATCCCACCGTTTATCGACATCGTCATCGCTCGACGAGGTGAACCTGATGAACAGCAAGGAAGACGAGCCGACAGACAAGGCACAGAGCCCCCGGGACAAAACATTACCGCCTCCGTTGCCTCCCAAGGACAATCCCACCCCTCCGGCAAGCGCAGGTCTGATGGGTCTGTCCGGTAGCCTGCCCTCAATCCCATGGGCGGCCCCTCCAGTGAACAAGAACCCACCCATTCCCCCGCCAGCCCCTGCTCGAAAGCCCAGTGGTCCATTTGCATGGTTCTCTCGAAGCTCAACCTCGACCAATGTGAAGGACATCAAATCCCCAACCCACTCTGCCAGCCGACGAAACACCGCCACTTCCGTATCTACTCTTGCCAGCAACCTAGAGCAAATCGCTCGTGATGGCGACGACCTCTCGAGCATTGGCTCAAAGAAGCCGAGACGCAACAGCCTGAAGGATCAGTTCAAGATGCTGCGCCTGCGCGAGGAGAGCCATGCGCCAGAGGTCGATCAAACGAGTGTGCGATCCGGCCAGGCCAGCATCAGCCAGTCAGGAGCTAGCCCGCCTATCATCCCAGAGGAAGGAGAAGAGGGCATCTTGGTATCAGGAGCCATTTCACCTTCGGCGACCGTAGCTCCTGGGAGAACGGGCTCTGTGGCTGATGCTTCCACCCCGGTGGACTGGGAGATGTGGCAGCAGCTTGTGAACAACGGACCCCAGGCATTGGCAAGCTCAGAGGAACTGAATGCCGCCATCAAAAGAGGTATCCCCCAGACGATCCGAGGAGTTATTTGGCAAATTTTGGCGGATTGCCAGACTGCTGATCTGGAGGACACATATCGAGAGCTCGTGGCGCGTGGTACAGCACAAGACAAAGATGGACGAATAATAAATGGTGCCGAAACAACGTCGTCGCGCTCTTCAGTCCGCTCCCACCACTCGGGTTCCGGATCCCGGTCTAGCAGCGCTGCCCCTAGCCCGTCTTACGAAGGAGACACCGATAAGTTGTGCAAGGAACATGTCCCCAATGACGCCGACCGCCTGAAGAAAGCAAAGACAGACGCCGTTGCGCTGCAAAAATTGGAGAAGGTCATCAGGCGAGACCTGGGTGCTCGCACTAGCTACGCGAAATACTTTGTTTCCCAGGGCAGCCAAGAAGGCCTCTTTGGGCTGTGCAAGGCATACGCCTTGTATGATCCAGGAGTTGGATACGCACAAGGCATGAACTTTATTGCTATGCCATTGTTGTTCAACGTGAGTGAACCCTCAACTAAGATGACTGAGCTCATAGGCTAACCGTATACGCAGATGGACGAAGTCGATGCTTTCGCCATGATGGTCAAGCTGATGAACAAGTACTCCCTACGAGATATGTTCATTCAGGATATGCCTGGGCTTCACCGTAGCCTATATCAATTCGAGCGACTTCTAGAAGACCTTGAACCCGCTCTCTACTGCCATCTCCGGCGCCGTGGAGTTCCTCCTCAGCTCTACGCCACACAGTGGTTCTTGACTCTGTTTGCCTACCGTTTCCCGCTGCAATTGGTGCTTCGCATCTACGACCTGATCTTCGAAGAGGGTCTAGAGACTACTATACTTAAATTTGGTGTTGCGATCATGCGGCGAAATGCAGACGCGCTGCTCGAAATGAAAGACATGAGCGTGCTCACTACTTTCTTGAAAGAGCGTTTGTTCGATACCTACATCGACAAGCAGCCGTCCACTTCATCAATTCTGGAGTCAGGCTTCTTCGGAAGCTCTGGCGCCTCCGACAAGGAGATCTACCGATCTGACATCATGGTGCAGGATGCTTGCGCCATTCCCCTCACGTCCGAGATGCTTGCCACGTACACCACCGAGTGGGAGGAAAAGAGTCGAAGTGAGAAAGAGCGCGAAGTCGAGCTGGAACACTTGCGGCACACTGTGAGCACGCAGGGCGCGCGTGTCCGACTTCTCGAGGAACGTGCCGAAGCGTCAGACAAGGAGCATGTGCAATTAGCGTCTGAGTTGGTGCACGTCAAGGTCGATAACGAGGAGCTGCGCGACCTCAACGAAGCGCTGCAACTACAGGTCACCGAACTCAAGAAGGTGGTCGACAAACAGCCGGCCGAAGTGGAGGAGAAGCTTCGCTCCGAAATGGAACGGATCATGACACGGAATATCGAGGTGCAAAACGAGAACCGTGCGATGGAAGAATCAATGTCGGAGATGGAGAAGGAGTTGGTTGCCACGAAAATGAAGTGGGCAGAGGTAAAAGATATTCCCTTTAATATCCAACGTGCCGAGACTGACGAACTCAAAACAGATTTCCGAGAACCACGATACTCTCCGCCAGAAATGGAGCGACCTTCGTCGTGCCCTCGACTGATCACCTCATCCCTTCTATTACTCCTCTCGACCCCGGATAGCAGTATCCGGATTCTGTATATTTGGAATGCACAGATGAGATAGCGAGGATCTGTGATCACGTCTCTATCCTGCGCATTTGCATGCTTATGGGCCAGGTCATTTGCTTTTGTTATTTTCCTTGCCGTACCTGCTTCCCCCCGTTTTGACCCAATGTTATGATTTGCGCCTTTTACGACCCTCTTTGGTATTTCCCTTCTCCAAGCTCTCAGCATGCCATTTTTTTTTGGAAGGCATCGGTGTTTTGCCTGTTGAATTATCTTTGCTTTAGTGTGTATGTCTATCTCCGATCCTCGGGCAGGGCGTACGAGACGTATGCAATGTACATCATCACAATGGACTTTCTTATCTAGCTTCTGCATATCCCCTACATCATCCCTTAGCTCTATACTCTATACCAAATTCAAATCCACAAATTCAAATCCACAAATTCAAATCTAAATTTTCTCAAATTACAGAATATTCTCATAATAACTCGTCAACACATCCTCCTTAACAGGTCCCGCACAAGCCTTGAGAAGCTTATGCGCCTCACATTCGCCATCATAGTATTTCATATCCTCCATCGAAGCAAAAGTCGTCTTGACAGACAAGTTATATCCCTTATTGCGAGGATCGGGAATCGAAGCACCAACAGCCGCAGCAACGATGTAGGGCTTGCCGTCCTAAAGATACCCGTTAGTAACCGTTGCGTCTCATTCCGAGTCCTCCCCTTCTACTCCGAATGGTAGTACAACATAGTACACGTATGTATGTAGCCATCACGGAATGCACAGGACTGTATATATCATATTCACCTTTGTAGCGGTCTTCGCAAGAACCTTGTACTGCTCCAGCACGCGGTCGCGATCCGCCTCGTTGGGGATCTTGAAGAGGGTGATTCGCTCGATAGGGGCCATTTTTGTGATAGTTTGTAGGGTGAGACGGGACATTGTTAACCGGGGGATTATATGGGCTTTTATATGGCGGGGTTAATGGTTAATAATCTCAAATGTTCCTGATACTTCCGTCGGCTTGTGGGGGAACCGGAGTAGATTGATCATGATTTGTTTAATTAATCCGGGGGTTTTTTTGGTTTTTCCAGGTGTTAGTACTATTCTTGATCTTGATCGTATGCATATTCTACAGTTGCTATATCTATCCCTTCAATTGGGAGTATTTCTTTATTTTGTGAATGGGCGGAATAGTGGTGGTTGGAGAGCGCGCAATTCCGCTCGGGTATTTGGTGTGCGGAATAGGATATTGAAGGATAATGGTATATCCTAGGATGGAAATTTAAGTGCCGAGGAACTTATCTGCTTCATTTATGATGTCCAGAAGATTGATTATAGTCCTTAGATTGGATATGACATCTCCATACCCATTCAATCATTCCATGGTCTACGAACCATTGGTCACAGATTCCCACGCAGTCCCTGTTCCCTCTCAAAAGCCTCGAACAAACTCTTGAAATTCCCAGCCCCAAACCCATCAAACGAATTCCGCTGTATGACCTCTATAAACACCGTCGGTCTATCCCCGACATGCTTGGAGAAGATCTGAAGCAGGTATCCACGCTCATCGAAATCAACCAAGATATTCAGCCGCTCGAGCACGTCGACATCGGCTCCAAGCGTCCAGGACACTTGTGTCAGGCGTTCCCGCAGATCGGCATAGTATACAGCTGGTACATTGAGGAACTGGACACCGCGCGCGTGGAGCCCAGTTACGGCAGCGACGATGTCGTGCGTGCGGAAGGCTATATGCTGCACTCCGGCGCCGTGGTAGTAGTCGACGAATCTATGATGGTTAAAAGGATTGGTATGTGGGTGGAATAGAGAAAGAACAGGGGATTGCGTACTCTTCAATCTGTGACTTCTTCTTGCCAGTTGCAGGCTCGTTCATAGGCATCTTGATGGTTTCGTTTGGTGAAGCGATGACAATTGATCGCATCGCCGAGTACTCGCTGCACATGTCTTTATCGTCGACCGTCCAGTAGCGATGGAAGTCGAGGCATTCCTCATAACTAAAGCTCATGTATTAGAGTGACGATTCCAACAAAAACGACTTTGACTCTACTCACTATTGGACAATGGTGTCCACTCCTCCCCACGACTGATTCCCCACACAGTGATCAATCTCAAGAATGTTGATGGGTGGCAGAAGCTGTGCGATCGGATCTTCACTATCGATCAATCGATACCCAGGTAAGAAGGGAGCATCTGACGAATACTTCTCACGATTCACCAGAGAATGTACCGTATCTCCGTACGTCCCAAGAGTCGCAGAGACGATCCATCCAAGCCCTTCAACAGCAGACGTCTGCGGTTCGGTGATGGCGCGAGCACCGTTCCCTACAGCTCGCTCCCATACAGCATGTATATCGCCCGCGATCCGGAATGCGACATCCTTCACTCCGTCGCCGTGTATGGTCAAGTGTCTATGGATCTCAGCCAGCGTCGCGCGCTCATAATTCGAAGCCTGGCGCAAGACGTCGTCTTCTGAGCCTTCGTTCGGCGGGCCACAGACTGGCCCCGTGAGAACAAAAGTAGCGCCGCTGTTGGCTACAACATAGCTCACAAGATAGGGCGAGCCGGTTTCCGGGCCGCGGTATGCAATGGGGCGGAAGCCCATGCGAGTGATCCAATACGAAGCGGCTTGTTTGGGGTTGCCGACATACCAATGGATGTGATCGAAGCCGACATATTCGGGCCCCATCTTCGCGGGAAAGATATCTTCATTTTTCGGCATGGTCATGGTTGGTGTTGATTGTGGCTGCACTGGTATCGGTGTAGGTTTGGACCGAGAAGCATGTCATCCCTCCGGCAGCCGTTGGCGCCGGTATAAGTTGTCAAGTTATTTATGAATGATTTTGAAGACAGCTGGGCCAGGGTTGAAAAAAAAAATAGAATGGCTGGTGAAGGGATCCCTGTCCAAACGCGTCACATTCCAAGCCCGCATCCCCGGATCAATAGAGCGCGGGCTATCTAGATAACCTTACATATGAGGCAATGCTGAAGTCATCCATTCACGCTTTGGAGACCGATCATTCCATATCCTTCCTGGATGTTCTGCTGTCTGTGCGGGCTGCAGCTTTGTCCTTTGCTGAACCTTGGTAGGTTCGGATTCAGGCTTGTATACCCGGAAGAAGCAGAATTGATGTGTTTGCACACCAAGAAGGTCAATGCCGTAGAGAAAAAGCCGCTATTCTCCGCAGCAAAGCGTGAGTCCATGTTCAGTTGGGTTGGCCATGTCATAACATCCGATCCAGTCCTGCGGCTCCAGTATATGTTGTACACAATAGATGCTCATCTCCAGAAGATCCAATTTCGCGAGTTCATCCCATTCCAATGCAAGAAAGTAAAACCTCCAACCCAGCCCAATCAAACATTTGTTACGGGCTCCGGCCGACTCTTGAAGAAGATCTTATAGCGCACAATCTCCACAACCTCCAGTTCCTCGCCCTCCGACGCCTGTCGTTTTTGTAGCACAGCAATTGGCCGTGGGAGCTTCTTGACTTCTCCAGTCATCCGCTGGTACCGGCCAACATACATGTATGCGCGCTTCATCCATTTTGTGTCATCTGGGTTGTGGACCGAGTAGTCTGGGAACATGAGTTTTCCGATCGGAGTTTCGAAGGTAGAGGCTGGATTATCCATAGAGGAAGAGTAGTCTATGTCATCTTCTTCGTTCCCCGAGGGGACATTGATTGTGCCCTGGAGCTCGAGAAGGGCTAGGCCTGAGGGTGTTTGAAGGAGTGCTGGGAGGGGATTGTTCGGAGTTGAGGCGGTCGCAGCTGCTTTTGCTGGACTTGAGCAGTGTGGGTGCAGCTTTATGGAGGGCATGATGTAGTCTCTTTGATGTTTCAATTGTTGAAGGAGGAAAACGCGAACGCGGCACGCGTTTGGTTCCCCACACTTATCATGAGAAACGGGCAATTACTAGACGAGCAGGAATACGGAATACAGAATACAAAATACATATGGAAATTATTGTTACTTGTAGAATTGGTGGGATTAAGAATATTTACAGGGCTTTAGATACATGGATTCTTAATAGTCCACTGTTTATTCTGTCTCCGGGAAGGATAGTCAACACTGGGTCCAAAGCCGGCGTCCAGGATCAAGTAAAGTGTGTAACAATTGATGTAGATTTACTACATGAGTTGGACATAAGCGTGGCTGGTCGACAGGATGTTTGGCGTAATAGTGTTCTTCCAAGCCATGGCCGAGGTTGGGGTATCATAAGAGTGCAATAGATGCCCTTTCCAAGAGAACGAATATCTCGTGTCGCAAAGAGCAGCTAGCTTGACCATAGAACATAGTCCTGGAGGCGAAAAAGAGCAGATGGGCAACAACACAGCAGTCACACGTTGAAGATTAGAACGTAGAGCTCGGTACCTGCACAAACTGCCAGACAACTCTCCAAAGCTGGAAATCAGGATTCAGACATAAAAGCGCCCGTCATATTTTGCCCTCTATCTGCATATCAATGTTAGCTGTGATCCTTCATTGCTATAATCAAACCACGTACCAATAGGTCAGGGGTACCCGACACTTGCATTGCAAATAACAAATGGGAACAATGCACGATGAGCCAGAAGCATAATTCTCAAGAAGTGCTCTTATAGCAAATGTCTTCGAGGTTCTGCAGGCCCTTGATCGCCTCACCAGCTACATCTTCCGCGGTCCCAGCGGGACCTTGTAATTTGCCGTAACGGAGATCGCTCATATCACCCACAGTCGTATTGAGTTGAGCTAAAATCTTCGCAGCCTCTTGATCGATTCCAGCAATTTCATGCTCAATATTAGCGCTAGCCATCTCCATTTCAGCCAGGAGGCTAGCCACTGAGTGATAATCTCCCGGTGCAGTAGGTGGCTGGCCGAACATATGAAGATCCATATCCATCTCGCGCTGCTCTTCAGAATTGGAGGCTTCGACTCCAGTGGCTAAGATAGCTTTTCGGAGCTCTGCTCTCTGCTGTTCACCTTGTTTGATCTCGTTGTCGATGCTTTCATTGACTCGGTCCATGTCTTGTTCTCGGACTTGCTGCAGCTCCCGATACAATGTCCTGATGTGTGGATGGGATCTCAATCGCTTCGGGAAGAGCTCTGTGAACTTTTGCAGTGACATGACTGTTGGCAGTGGGGCTGGAGAAAGCAGGAAATTGCTCAGGATGGATTCCTCTGAGGGGGCCATGATGGATGTGTGTGTAGTATACACAGATATGAGTATGGTGTTTTTTTTCCCGAGTGTAGTTCTGTCTTTTCCCGTTTGACGCGAACCGAACTTGTCAATATTCACGCGAACAAGACAATAAGAAACAGAATGAATAGAATTGAACAATAGAAATGAATTGATGAATAGTTATTGTAATAATAGAAGATGTATGAATATGTAAATGTGAATGGAATAAAGTGCCGCTAATTCTTTCCAAGGGGCCACTCATCTTCGCTTGATTTCCCTTCTTCTCCTTTGCAACTCCACATCTACTACATCTCCAGCACTACTTCGACCTCCCATTCTATCTTCAAAAATCTTGATATCTTCTATCTCAGATTCCTGAGCTGGTCTCTCGTCTGATCTAATCTTGTGGATTCTCTCTTCCACCTTGATCAAATTTGCTGTTATCAAACAACATCTTGTACTGCCTTTGTGCATCTTCATCTCCTGTCTTTGCTCAAGTCTGCATATATTTGCAGTGTTACAGACCATCAGAATCTTTGAAGGCTCCCAAGATTCTTCTGATCGTTGTGGCTGTTACCGCCTGTATCACTCCCACGGGGCCTTTTCCCGTGAAGACAGGAAACATCTTCCAGACTCTACACCTTTGAGCTCGAAGGTCTCTAGTCCATCATACCAACTTGAAACACGCATATCTTCTACCTTTCTCCGACAAACATGGCTCCTATTTCCATGTATAGCAAGGATGAGAAAGTCCTTTGCTTCCACCATGAGATCCTTTACGATGCCAAGATCCTGGATGTTCGCCACAAGGATTCCACTGACAAGAAGAGCCCCTTTGAATACCAAGTCCACTATAAGGGTTGGAAGAATACGTAAGTCTGACTTATTTCATTCCCCTGTTTCTCTACATCCTGGTTGTGGTGTTGAGATTCAATGTTGTTGTCCCCTCCAAAATTTGTCCGGGCCATTACGGAAGACTTGACCTCGATCTATGCGCTCTCTGTTATGAAAAATGCCTCTTGTTTTCGATTGTACATGTTTTTAGAAACCAACATGTCCAAACCCATTCGATTTGGAACAATCTTCTAACATTTGAACAGCTGGGATGACTGGGTCCTGGAGGACCGTCTTCGCAAGCACACGGAAGACAACCGCGAATTGGCCAATAATTTGCGTCGCGAAGCTGAAGCTTCTTTCCGTTTGAAGAACACCAAGGTCACTGCTAAGAAGCGTGCCGGTTCCGACCGTGACTCTGTGCGGGACAGCGAGGAGCGCGGCGCCTCCGTGCCCGGCCGTGGCACAAAGCGAGCCCGTGACAGTGAAATTGAAAAGGTATGCAATCACGACATCAATCTACTCAATTTGGTTCAATGGAACAAAACCAAGAAAAAAAATACAAAGGAACTATAACATTCATGATTTCATACTAACAATCCATGACAGGAGGAGAGCTTCAACATTCGCCCCTCAGTCCGCATTCTCATGCCAGACAACTTGAAGTCCCTACTTGTCGACGACTGGGAACAGGTAACCAAGAACCAGTGCGTCATCTCTCTGCCAGCGAAGTACCCAGTCCGCCAGATCCTGCAAGACTGGCATGAGGAAGAACTCCCAAAGCGGTCGGGCTCGTCAGCAGACGAGGACGTGCTTGAGGAAGTCGTCGCCGGGATCCAGGAGTACTTCGACAAGTGTTTGGACAAGATTCTTCTCTACCGCCACGAGCGCCCACAGTACCGCGGGCTGCGTAAGAAGTTCGAGGCTGCCACCGGGGACCTGGCCGATAAGGGCCCCATCGATGTCTACGGAGCGGAGCACCTGATCCGCTTGTTCAGTATGTATTCCCGGTTCACCTTACTTCTGATTTAATTGTGAGGGTAGGGAATTGTGCTAATCGTTGCGTTTGTGTAGGCACCATGCCTGAGTTGATTGCTCAGACTAACATGGATATGCAGGCTACGAACCGCCTGCGTGAGGAGATCTCGAAGCTGTCTATGTGGCTGAGCAAGAACTCGGAGAAGTACTTCGCTACCAGCTACCTGCCGGCGGAGAGCACTCACTGAGTGCGGCAGGTTCTTTGGGGGTGGGGGAAGGGGGTTTCTGTCTCTTTTTTTCGTTGCCTGCGTTAGGGTGGTCACCTCTTCCAGCAGCAACTTGTTTTTTTTAAAAAAAAATTCGATTCGAGAAGCGTGGGCCTGGAATACAAATTTTTTTGCTCAATTAATGTCTTAATCTCTAAGACGGAGAGTATCCCAAGGTTCTCGTAGGATGTACTGGTAGTAGAGAGACCAAGCCCTGATATTACTTGGTAGTCATCATGGATACATGGATATAATAACAGTGTAACACCGAGAAGAAAATATGAATTCTCAATTGGATATCTTAATGGAAAACTCAATGATACCACCACTACTACCTAGTGATCTACCTCTCCACAGCACCACCCACAAACACCTTGAATCCAGATCAGAATCCAAGATCCATAAAAATAGAAAGAAACGAAAGAAACAACTCCACAGCCTGATACCTAAGCAACCAGTTGCCTAGCATCATCAACAGCACACCGCGCCGCACGCTTCAACTCACTCTTCCACTCCGCCTCACGCCACTTAGTCCAAGCACTCAGACCCTCAGGCGGCTGGATACTCAGCGTATCATAGCCCTGCTTAATGATACGGTGGACCTCACGCGGGGAGAGATTCTTCTTCTTGATCGACGGCAACGCCACCGGCGCAGGCTCATCAGCTTTAGGACTAGCAGCAGTAGCAGCAGCGGCGGCGGCGGCGGCGGCGGCGGCGTCCACACTATCCGATTGGAAGAGCAGCGTGTAGAAATGAGTAGACACAGATTGGAGGGTGTCGATAGCGGCTGAATGTAGCTCCTTTGGGGAGATTGCATCGGCTGTTTTGGAGGCTGAGACGCCTGCTACTGTGGTACTGGGGCGGGACAATGCGTATGCATCGCGGAATTTGGAGATGATGGGGCCTGTTTCGACGAGCTTGTAGAAGAGGTCATCGTACGAGGCTGGGTCTGGGAGGAAGGTGTCGCCGCCTGAGACGCAGAATGCGATTAGATCTGCTAGGGAGGTCGTGAGGGTTTGGATCTTGGGGTTGCTAGTTAGATCGGAGGCGTAGGTTGTTAGGAAGCGCATGAGGGAGAGAAGAGTCCGCCAGAGCTCGGACCAATGGTAGGTGAGGCGGATCTTGTTCTTTGATAGGTATGTTAGGAGGCGGAGGGTGATTGCGATTGTGTGGCTGGGGAGATTGTTAGTTATGCCATGGCTAATGGATGCAGTTGATTATTGTTACATACCTGTAGATATTGACGTCGAGGCGCCGGCGAAGGTTATGCGTAATAGTATCGATGGCAATATCAATGATCACGGTGGCGAGGACCCGGTCTCCGCTGACTAGGGGGAGATAGGGCTGTTTCTGTCGACAGATGCGGACCTTTCGCTTGACATTTTCGCTGCAAATGTGCTTACAGATGGTTGGGTCTTCGACCAGAATGCGAAGTGTAAACAGGTTTAGTTCGGCATAGTGCCCGACCCGCGGGGATCGATATGCATGTTGGAGAAGATAGGAGGACAATGAGAGGAAGCTCGAGAAAGGTGATTCTTCATTGTTGCTTTCTGGTTCCAGATGGACCAAATGATAACCAA